AGACCATTGTTAGAAACCTGGAAGCACTGGTATGGGACTAGTATGGGACTCCTCAGCAGTGCGCATCCACGACTCCTGCTCCTCGCAGGATTCGAACCCGGGACCATTGGCATTGTAGGCGAACGCCTTACCTTCGGACCACTGGGCCGGCATCCAACGGTGTCAATGTCTAACTCTGATTGATCTAGGGAATTTGCGCGACCTCACCCATTTGTCTTTGGTAGTTACTGCTTACACCCGACAGGGTTGAACTCCACTGGTCACGTCTTCTCAACTAGAACTCCGAGAATTTCCTCACGAAGCTAGTCACTAGTGAGCACTGTTACAATATATTGGGGCACAGTTTTGGAGGTTTGCGTTTTTACACATTTGAAATCATTAATCAATCATCATTGTTAGACCACCATAATGGTGGTCTCCGAAACTGTGCCCCAATAATTTCCACTTGTCAAAGCTTTTTACTTTAACTCTTGAAACTAACTCAAAAAATTAGTCACTATTAAGAACATGATTTTGATTACGTCACTAACTGATTGAATTGCTAGAGATTAAAAAAGAAACTAAAAAGATTTTAGATTAACAAAAAGACGGAAACCATTTCATAATTATAAATTTAGAATTGATTAAGCACAATTTTAACAAGATAATTTATAACTAGGCGAAAAAATGTTGATTCGCTAATTCTACTTATAAACTGAAATCGTGATTTAATCATCGTTATACCTCCAGCAGAAATCAGAAAGCACAGGAAGGCCGTTTCGTCTCAATTTGTGACTCATCATCCGTGTGCGTTCACAACTCCTGCTACTCACAGAACCCAGGAGATTCGGTACCGTGCGCGAACGCCCAACCTCTAGACCCTTGAGCCGGCATCCAACATTGTTTAATGTCTAACTCTTTTTTATTCAAATGAATCTGTTTTTCTCTTATTATCTTTCTTAAACTGCAATAATCGGTGATCTCAGTAACTTTTAGAAATAATTAAATATTATTTTGAAGATGAAGAGACTTGTAGCAGCATATATATACATATATATATATATATATATATATATATATATATCATGTTTTTCAATATAGTTTTCAGTACACATTAATGAAATTTACTCTTCTGAATAACTTTATTGAATCTGAAGTTAGAGACATATTGAAAATAACTCGGAAACCAATCGAAGTGATTTTTTAAGAAACTATTGGTGTTTATTGAAATCATAAAATTATTGGAGTTTGCCTACTATTAGAACCCTGAAGTTACTGGAAGGCCGTTTCCCACTAGAGTGGCATTCATCAGCAGTGCTCATCCACAACCACGCAAGTGGGTATTGATCGCAGAACCTTCGGCCTCGAGAGAAACGTAAACCGCTTGATCACTGCACCGGCATTCGATGGTGCTAGAGTTCGCCTTATTTGTTTAAACTTCCATCAATTATTACTTATAATCGTTATCTTTCCTTAACTTCCGCGTCCTATTTCTTACACTTTGGTACAAACATTTTCACATGTTGCTTAATTCTTATCTTGTTACCAATGAGATCTATGAGCAACTCAATTGGCGTAAATATTGTGTTAGATTCAATGTTACTCATCCTTGTCTATTTGTGTGTTTGATCACAAAACACTTCGTATCTCTAACTATATACTGCATAACGCAGTAATTTTAAATAATCCGATTGATCGTAATTCTTAAGAGTAAATTACTATGACAAGAAAATCTAATAAGAATTCGAGCAGTAACATTATCACAAACAATTACTGTATTTCTGTCAACTTATACACCTGTCTGCATGCAATTTATTCATATTTAGGCTACAGGACTGATTAAGTTTTATTTATTTAGTGAACTGTAGTAAAAGTGAATAACAAAAGAAATTTTTTTAACGAAAATATTTCATTACATTTTGATTATTTCACAATGTACGAAAATTAGTTCAAACACTTTACGAATTTTTTTGACAGTTTGTACTTGATCAACACTTACAAAACAATACGCAATTTTAGTAGTATATTCGACTGGATTGCAAAAATTTTTTAAGACTGTTGTTTTAGTAGTCAATCATAAAATATAACAAAAAACCACTAATATTAGTTTTAATCATTCAAGCTAAATTCCATAAAAAACTATTCTCAAATAATTACAACCTTTAATTTAAAAAAAATCGTAAAAATATGTTTCAAGTTATTCCTATGAAGAAACCTTTTAAGGTTTCATGATTAAAAGTATGTTACTTTACAAGCACAGTAGCACATCAACGATGGTGTTGCAAATTTATATAATCCTGTTTTGACAGTCGATAAAACAATTTAACGTAACAAATCTTTATTAGTTAAGATTGCCAGTAGTTTGATTATCTAACACAGGTTTCGGTTAGTAGTTCGTTTGTAATTTCACAGAGATTTTCCAAAAAAATCGACATTCATTGAAAAGCATTCAACAGTCCAGTTAAAATCTCTGAGATCAATGTACTTTAAAACTAAAATATTTTAATCCTCACAAACGTCCATTATATATTCTTAACATTTCTAAAACCAACATTATCTTGATTTTAAATAGGTAACAAGTAAATAGTACTACTGACATTTTTTAAATCTTTTCATTTGACCAGTCATCTTTACGGTCCTCAGTCAACCTTTTATTAAGATGAAGTGTAAAATACTGATATGTAGTTATACTTTATTTATTAACAATAATGATAATAATAATAATTTCTATTTGAAAATAACTATAAAAACGTAGGAGTTATTTACATATATAGGCCTATACATATGTATATTACTTTCTACTTCAGCTTGCATTAGTAAGAATAAGATATTTTATTACCACTGAAATTTATGGTTCATAAACTAATTAAAATCATTAATGATGTGATATTTTTCTAACTGATATTTTTTTTGTTCAAGATTTTCTTTATTTCGTATTTCACTTTTGTCTGGGTTTTTTTTCTAAAACATGCTGATTTTGAGTAATGGGCAAAATCATTTTTCTGTACAAATATACTGACGTGCAGTGAGCGATAAGAATGTATCTATGCATTCAAATGAACAATCCAGTTGAATATTTAACTTCAATTATGACAGTATTGTACATTAAAATACCAAAATGACTTTCCCATTCAATAGAATCATTTTTCGCGGTTTCACAAAACATGAAAAATTAACCAGGTAACTTAGATGTTAAGGAAATATAAACAATCTTTATTCAAAAGAAAACCAACTGATATCAAATATTAATTATTTTGTCTTATCAACTTAATTATTTTCAATCAAAATAGCCATAAAATTTAAATGTTTATCTGGTAAGCTAATTCATTACTAGTTTCCAAGCCTCAGTATCTGACAATCAAACTTGCTTTAAAATTCTACTGAAAATTATGTTCAAAGTAAGTGATCACTTGATTGACTAAAGTATTTTTGCTGTCAGTAAGACTGTTTACATGCTATCTATCGCCATACTTGTTATCATCTAATATTTAATTTTCTTTTCAAATTGACTTATGAATCACTGACCTATGAAATTATGTGGTACTCTTTGAAAAGTCATCAAACTATGCTGAAAACGGAAATGGTTACATTTCAATGACAATAATATCCTCATAAGTGAGGGGGAAAAATTAAGTGGAACAAATTATAGTGTGTTAATTTTTTCATTGTATTGATCTGTGATAAAACCCAAAATATGTAGGAATCTTTTTTTTATAAGGTTATCAAATTTTATTCCATTCAAAATAATAACGCTCACTCTAGTAAAGAAATAAGAACAAGAAAAACGTAAACTAGATATTTTCATAAAAGAAATAGAAAATCAAATTTTATAGTATTAAGTCGATCGTTATATGTTTGATTGATAAGCTCTGTGAAAATAGATTATTCAGATGAGTTGTTTAATCCCATCGTTCCCCTATGATGTCATGACGACATTTTTCCTAGGTGTACTTCGTCAGACAAATTTTCGTGTTCTTTTTTAGTATAAAAATTATTATTGATCCGTGATTTGACAGATTCTGGGCAGAAATTCTAAATACAATAATCCAAAACCTAATGTTCATCCTATAACAGTGTAGGATTTTTTGGTTAACAGACTTTGTAGTGACGTGACATTTGTAGAACATGTAAATGAATCTTTTTTAAGAATTATAATTTGTTAAATTTAAATTGTACAGTATTATTTTTCACTGTTGAAAAGTCATTCGTTCAATTTTAATTTGTCCGGCACTAATCGGCTGTCAACTAACAAGCAAATGGAAACTTCCGTATGGAACTGCAAACAGCGTTTAGTTAAATATATGATGAGAGATGTCAAAATATAATTGCTTTATTAACGTCTTTACCGTTGCACGTAAAACAAACTGATTTATTGGGAAAAGCCTAACAATAATAGCTGTAACGTACAGCAGTAGGAACACTATATGACCCCTTAATGGAGAGACAAAATTTGCTAAAACCCGTTATATGCTCTGTAGTTACTAAATACAGAGAGAAATGAAAGCACGGAAAGTTTGAAAATCTGAATTCAAATTTTATTTTACACTAAAGATTCTATGGAAAATCTACTCAAAGGCAAGAACAACTGAAACTTTCTCAGAATATTTCGATAAAATTTTTAATCAAAATTCAGGAACTTTTAATGGACATTTCCTTTTGATCTTTTTTACGCCATTTTTGATTGTAAAGCAAAGTAGTTCTCATCCACATCCTTATGATCAGTTGTTAGTTTAGCACAGGAAATATACCGTTAGAATTGTGAGCAGCCTCAAAATACCTTGTCTAGTGTAAACGTATCACCATGTTCCCATATTACACCAACCATCAGAATTTCAATGCTAAAATTTAAAAAATTGCCACAAACCACCAAAAAAACACTTTAAAATAATCAAACTCATGGCTAGTTGTAAATTGAATGAATTAAATAATTGAAAAATCTGTAAAGCTTTTCTTCCACTAATATTATCTTCTTGCTTGGTTCATATTTAATGATTCGTACTTGTTTTGTGTTTATCCTTTAGCTGATCCTCTCCAAATGCGCTCATTGTACCATGAGGACGTATTGAAGGTCAATGAAGGCAATGATTTGTTATTATCATGTCGTGTACGTGGTCGACCTACACCATTGATTTCATGGTATGTTAATCAGACAGAAATAAAACATCCGTGGAGATTGGAAACAGGACGTGGAATAATTCAAAAGTCACGGTATGATTCTTATAACTGACAACACATTTTGTTAATTTATTAAGCAGAATAAATTGCAGTTGCTTGATTATATTAAACAAGGCAGTAAAATATTATAACATGCATTTTTATACTGTATTCATTGTGCATCACAACTAACCTATGCAAGTCATCTTAATTTTAGACTTAATACTTTTACATTACATAAAGTATATTAAATACCCTCCTCCTCCTTGTGAAAATTATTGAAAAGTTCGTCAATCTTTTTTTTCATCATTCTTCAAACCACCTTCTTTATCATAAGAAAAGAAATAATATTCATACTTCGATAAAAATGCATTGCATTCGAACTGCGAAATCTTTATCCAGTGATTTGATTTATTTTTTTAATAATAATCAAATATCACTTATAATAGTCCGTAATATTTATTCAACTGTCCAGCATTTTTGACTATTTTCGTGATCGAACTTAGGAACTTTAAAGTTGATTGTCGATATCATTTAGCCAATATGGTAGGGTAACAAGTTTTATCAAAATTAGTAAGTGATCACTCTGTTGACTCACAAATTAATTTTTAATTTTAATCAAAAATCGATCACTAGAATCACATCCAGTAATCTAAAATAAGTAACATTACTACTTCAACAAATATTCGTTGCGAATTTCCACTATTTATTTTCAAGGGTTCTGGTAATTTATTGAAAATAGCATAACACCTTTCAAATGGTTTTCTTATAAGTAGCTTCCATGTTCTTGCTTGTGTACACAACATTGAAAGCAACCATACGAATGTGATACAGTTTGATTACATGAATTTTGTTTCATTTATCGGGCATATTTTATTCTTGATTTATCATGATTGTTTGAAAGCAGTGACGTAATTTATCTGATAAAAATGTTGTTTCAAGTTATTATTTATGTAAATCGGACTCATCTAACTGGATAACGTAGGACAGAAATTATTAAATACTTCGTTAGATAAATCAAAATCATCACCACAAAGATAACACCATTAGTTAGGTAAGGGAGTAAATGACATATTGGAAAATAGTTTTAGTGACTAAAAATCTAGAAAATTAAGTATGCCTGATACTTTAAAAAGCAATATGACCAACACAAATCGATGTCCCTTAGCCAACACCCATAATAATATAGAGTTTTGTTAGAATATAATAAGCAGGAAAACCTCAATACATAAAAGTTCCAAATGATTCCAGTCGACTCAAATAATTCAATGAAATTCATTTTCAACGAATAACCATTTGTTTTCACATTCTAATCTTAAACATATGAAAAGGCTCGTATAAACAGTTGATAAATAAGCACATCGGTGATCATTTCTCACTTACTCATGATAGTAAGTCTTCTAGAAGACCACTGATGAAACTTATAAGTCCTAGTTAGTACTTATCAAAAAGACAAATGTGTACCTTTAAAAAAAAGTGATGTTCACCTTTTAATTAGAACGGATATCACCTCAAAACAGTTAGAAGTGATATGAGTAAATTTTTCCTACGGAAATTGATTTCCTTCTAACCAAAACAGATTATGCAAACATGGTAATAGCTATAACATAGCCGAATAGATATTATTTACCTGTTTCGAAAAAAATAATTGCAGCAATACAGTGTTACCGATTTAATGAAGCATATAGAATGGGAATCAATCTGTAGTTTTAGATACATTATGAAACATTTCATTGGGATTATTTACTTTATTAATTAATTAACTGAATTCTAACTGTTACTAACCTCTTTTTATCCAAAAAGTTAAACAAACTTACTACAACACAAATATAAACATACAGATATATGGTTACTATTTGTTTATATATATATATATATTTCCTTAAACTTACAATTACTTTGATAATGGTAAATCACTATTTAGATATATATCGATATAATAAAAAAAGATAGGGTACCCCTATTTCATAAATTAATTTATTACTGAATCTAACAAGCAGCCGAATTCGACAGATTGACCTTTTTGAGATATTCATGTTTAAATAATAATCATAATAATAATACTAATGAAAGATGTATTGAACATACTTTATTTTCTAGTTGTATAAAATTTGACATTCGTAAAAAATATTCATGAAGAAGTGTACTAACCGTAGTACTACACAAACATTTCATCATGTACACTGATACATGCACACATTCAATGGGTTTATTTATTCTTTCAATAAACAATTCACATCAGTGTAAAAGAATTTTTCATTATAAGTAAAGAACATGCTGTAAGACTGATTAATAAGCAAAACGATAATAATAATAATAATAATAAGCAATTTTGATATACTTTTTTAACCTTTTACCAAATCAAATTTGTAATACTAACATATTGTTTGTTATATTTGTATGCATTTTCAAAAATTGAAAGCAAATACTAATCTTAACAACCTAGTTTTATTTTGTACAACAAATGTTGATTACAAGTGAAACCCAAATTGTACTGAAAGGAACTATGGCAAAAATAGGAATATAATACATATACATATATATATATATATATATACCGCTTTTCGGAAATATTTATGCAAATAACAGTTAACTGTCGTTCAGTTGAACGATAGTACAATTCATAAAATATACTTGAATAGATCACTTAAAAATGTCAATATTAATAACTGATATCATGAAGAATGGGACTTAAAATTATTATTAGAATTTCAATTACTAATATACTGATGAAACAGTAATATAATTATTTACTCTCGGCTGTCGAAACATTTGAACTTCATTTCACATTGGAATAGATAAAAGAGAATTCAAGTTTTCTCTAGTTATCAATAGTTCAATGGCTGGCAACATTTGCTGATAAACTATGAAAGAATTCAGGTCAGATGTTCTCGCTTCGTTCGATATATTTAGCAACAAATTCTTGATATATATATGTTGATTGTAAGGCAGTTTTACTTATCAGTGATACTGTTATATGGTTATGCGAAACCATGAATCTATTCAAGACATGTAAACCACTCATTCAAATGTTGGGAACTTCCTGTGAGACCTGAAACATCTGCATTCAATCTCAAGTGGGGTTGTGTTTGCATAAAACTGAGATGATCTGTACTAGAATGAAAATTCGGCTCAGTATCACCTAGTTTTCAATGTTTGTTTTACATTATATCAGTTCATAATGTAATTTATAAAAAGAATTTAAATTTTTACATTTTTTTCTTTCGTTATAATAAATTATCTAAATTAAATTGAACACCTAGAAAACTTACTTGAAAAAGATGATTATTTGAAATTATTCTTACTTTCCTTGTTAACGATTAAAATAAATTACATAATAATTAATTATTATTTATTTCGAAATGATTCCTCATTTTCATACTTTGAACTTTTAGCAGAGCTTTGTTTTAGACTATTAATTTCAATTGCACAGTGATTTACAGTGTTATTAAATTAATTCACTCATGTGATTAATAAAGATTATTCACATGTCGAAAATTCATCATTTATAAAATACAAACTTATTGTATACTTGGTTTCTGCATCGAATCCTTTAAAAAAAACTAAAAAAAGTAGTAAATTACTTCATTTATACAAATAGCAAATAATTCTTTTCATGAAAACCAATAGATATAATCAGTATGAAAGTACAGAGTGCTTTTAAAATTTATGTTTGCGGCTACATATCATCATATTGATCCAATTTCAGTTTTCTGACCATAAATTTATACCATTTGACAGTGTAAAATAGTTCGTAGAAAGCTTTAAACTTAAATATCATGCTAGTTGTCTCTTCAGTCTTAAAATAACATGTTGGTCACACAAAGACGAAAAACTATAATCTTCAAGTCACTTACTGTTAATCGCAACAATCAATCATGAACCTACAGGACTATGCGGAACCAAAAGATTGTTTTAACCATTAATTATTGAAAAAATTTCTTTTACCTAAATTCTCTGGCATTTTTTTCTGATAAAATACTTCCATTTAAGACGACAGGAAAAGCAGACTAGATTTTGCTAGAAAAATTATCTTCAACGTGAAATTACAGTGCATAACTAATACACTCGGAATATGCTAACAATCGACGTCTATAACATGAATTTCTTGAGATTTTTCCACGTTCCCACCTCCTAAAGTATACCTATATTCAATAGATACATCATCTAAATTGAACACGTTTCTTTATTCGTTTTATTGGTTTTGCGCTATGTATTGACTAGACCGGCTTACCTAAACAAATCCTCTGCATAGACTTCTTCTTTTTACTATTAAGTACATAGATCTTTTTTTATCAAATAAACCACTATAGTAACTGAAAAAAAATTATTCGATTTATCGAAACAGTTGTTTTATCATCTCTGACTATTAATCTGGTATAGTCGTTTCACTATAAGTATTTACTTTATAAAAAAAAACAAAGTCTTTTCCTACAATAGATGAAAACATTTGCTTACAAATTTTCAAAGCACCTGTCTATTATTATTATTATTATTATTATTATTATTATGATTTAATATATGTAATACTGAATACATATAAACCTTTTTATTCTACATTGTATACTTTAGTTTTGTATATTACATGTATTTTGTTTTGTTAAACTGTGTAGTTTCTTTTTCATAAATGCATGTATGCACTAACTAACTAACTGACCGTAGAAATTTCTTGTTTACCCTGGATAGATAGGCTTTCATCTCTAATCGTTATTCGCCTATAAAAAAAATATTAACTATTCTTCTGTCTTGAACATTCATTTTTGCAAGTACACCTATGCGTATCCAGCAATATGTGTAAGTTGTTCAATGGTTGTACAGATTTCTTTCAAATAATTTACATAAGAGACAATGTCTGTTCGTCGTTTTACCGTTCTATTTTTTATTTTTTTATTTTTCATCTTTTGTTTCATTCAACAAATCCAGTTATCTATCCAAACTTCAATTGAGTAATGTACATACAACTGATAATGCTAATTATACGTGTTTAGCAGAAAATTTAAATGGTCATATACGTAAATCAGTACAAGTGATTGGTATGTTATGTTTGATTAATTATGTTTCTTTTTCGCTCAAGTTATAAAACAAATTTCTTATGCGCATTAAACGTATTGTAATCTATCCATCATGATACATAAATATCCTGTGCTCTCTGTAGCTTGGGTGTCATTTTACGAATAGAAACCTTCCGAAATGTTTTAGGGCAAGTCTGTATACTATTGAAAATGTTTATAATGCACTTATCTCTAAATAATTCAACTATTCCACACAATTTTGAAGAAATATATAATTACAGAACAATAATAGTTACCAAAAACTACATGAATAACCGAATTAAACTTTCTTATTACAGAATAAATACTATACTTACCATTAGCCTTCAATCAAATAACTAAATGTTACAGTTATATTTCTGAAGGAGAGAATTTCTATTTACTATTACAACAAATCTTAATCACTCTTAACTACAATAAGCATAGTGACCAATGAGTATAAGAAGTCATATTAAACATTCTTCATAAAAATCATAATATTTTTTCCTTAAAGTTTATCACATCTTTAGCAGGTGTCGAGATTCTATTCAGCCTCACTACATTCGAGTTCGTAATGGCGTACGACCGAAACATCGTTGATAATACAAGAAATAATATGACTGAATATGATTACACATTATACTGCCTTGATAGTTTTCTCAGTACAAGATATGAACTCCCTAGGCTTGAACCCAGTAAAAAGATTGTTTACATGCAAACTTCTTGAATGTGTAATACTACGAGGAAACAACCATCAGATAAATCTCTTGTTTTCAGGCTGACATCAGTCCAAGCTCCTCTGGTTTGTAGATTTTATTTTCAAGTTAAACAAAAACTGATTAACCTTTATAAACCTCAACGAAGCTGATGAGAAAAAAAGCTTCGGAAAAAATTCCGAAACCACTCATCCAAAAAGTTGCAAAATATTGGAAACCGTTATTTAAGTTTGTAAACCACAACAATAGGACTGACTATCCGCTGTCATTCAAGCATATGTTTTTCTAATTATGTAACATGAAAATGAATTTCATTAGTTGGTCTATCAAATGTTTAAAGTGGCTTCATTATAAATCAGAATATGATTAGTTAGGAATTGAATCGACTGTTTCGGTTCTTAAACTTTTTATCTATTTAATCTATGAATAAGTTTATCTTGTTCTTTTGATTGTTTACAGTCAAACCAGCAACTACTTCACCTCCGCCTACTACAACTCCTCTATTATCAACAACTGAAATGACGACTACTTCGGGTAAGTGAATTACATTTTCTCCAGATTCATAATTTTTACTGTTACATACAATACGTATACGTTTTTTTGTTTAATTTAAACTGTAAGAAAAATTTAAAAAATACTAATAGTACTAAAAAATCAGGACGTGTCAGATGTTAAGAAATGATGTTAATTTGTAATGTTTCCATCACATATTCTTATCAGAAACTAACAATATATATGAAAATACCAATAAAACGTCAAAAGAAAGATTTCAAAAGAAAAAATAAAACTAGACTGGTGCACGACTTCAGCTTGTCCGTTATTCATTTGCGGAATGCAATACATATCTGTTAAATGCTTTAGCCAAGTTTACAACTTTACAGAATCAATTTTATAGTGATAATCAAGTTGATAAATTATGAAAATATTGACCAGTATGATCATAGTGAATAATTTAAAATCTATAATTGATATATTCAGCAAAATATTTGAAATTTAATCAACACTTCCTATCGAAAGTCAAACAATGGACACTGGATTTGTACTTTTCAATCTCAATAACAATGGATATTCATAACCTTATGACATACTCTAAAATGTAAAACTTTTAAATGTTAAGGGAAGTGCACCAACTTTATAGATTAGTGAGTAAAAGGATTTTGAATCTCAGACGATTTAGGATCACGTTTAACAGCATTCAATCTTATGGATTAATAAACTCCATTTGTTACTGACAGAACAGAAGGTATTCACTTGATATGGAATCTAAAAATCCTCTATTTAAATTAACAATAAACGTGAGAATTTTAATTAAACCTTTGTAAAATATTCCGTCAATGATGAATCAACCATTTTCTTGTACACTAAAAACAAAATTTCTTTCTTCATTCTAAAAATGATACTTTCTAAAAATGATAATCATTTTATACTGCTGGTAGAAATGTGAAAACAAACAAACAAACACAGTAATAACAATAATAATAATAGCAATAATAGCAATAAACATTGAAACAAGAAAATTTTTACCCCATAATTAAATTTTCATCGCTTGTTTTATTGTGGAAAAAAACAAAGCAAGAAATAAGCTTTAATTTTTTTTTGTTTGAAATGAAAAATAACCATTAATGAAGAAGTGATAAAACTTCAAAGAAAATAAACAATTGAGCGTAAGTGTATGTAAAACTCCAATAAAATAGCATAAATAATTAGGATTTCTTTGAGTAGAAACCGGGATATTTTTAAAATTTATTATAATTATGATACTTTTCGGTAGTTGAATCCCTTAAGAATTCACAACTACAATAAAATAAAAAAGTATCATTGAAAAAAAGACTAGAGATTTTAATCTTTACTACTACTGATAAAATGTATATCATAAATTATGCTTCATTTTACGGATGAGCAGTTAATCACATTATGACAATAAGCAGACAGAATAGAAATATCAAAATCTTTGACTACTTTTTATGAGGAATTTTAAATCTTCTTATTTTTTTTCTTGAATTCTATTCATTTGTTTTATAATGATAGAATAGTGTGTATGTACATTACGTTGATTGAATATTTTGTGCAATAGGAAAAGTTTTCATTTATTACATATTAACTTAATTAGTTTGACATTTGACAATTCTCTCATTTAACATTTAATCATTTAGTAATTTTATGAATTAATCTAAATTATGAACATGATTATTTCATCAATTTCATCAAAATATTCATTAATTATTTAATGAGGCTCGTTATTCTTCATAGAGCATAGGCCGCGTCGACTAGCATCCTCTAAAAAACTCTGTTCGGAACCATACTTTCCAGTACTATCCAATCGATATTCATACTTTCCATTCATTTTTTCTCCTGTTACGCTTATCTCTAGGTATGCTTGAACTATTACGAGTTCATCTTAGTCGAATAACGAGAACAAAACAATGAAACAGCGTCCAGGTAGGCTACTGTGATCACTTGACCCAATTGAACCAGCAAGAAGTCTTGGTATAGCGTAGAAAGTATATTCGACAGCCAGCCAGCACACAATGAATCCAAGCACTCAAATTGCGTTTATTTATACTCCATAGAGACGTCCTTGGTACAGTCACAATAGCACACTAAAATGACACAGTAACCAATCATAGCCAAGGATTTTTCTGGTGGGAAATGTAGTCTTAAGGTCAACTGATCGGTCCATGAAACCAATCCAAAATAAAGATTTTTATCAAGCGAGTTCTGGGGATCTAACATCCCCAACATCTCCAATTCTCGGAACAGTATGTTCTTTGGTCCACCTCTCTTCCTTTCGCCTTGACACTTTCAAGCTACGGCTTCTCTCGTGACGCCGTTTTTTTTTACACAATATGTGTCCTATCCATCTCTAACACGTTTTCCTAATCTCTTCCTCAGCTGCAAACATATCTCTCCTTGCATAATTTTGCAGTTTAATCCATCATGCGAACTCCGTATGATGCTGACTATCTTCTCAGGGACGCCATAGTGTCGAAGAAGCCTCCATAGTGTTTTTATGTACAATCTGTCGAATGCTTTGAGGTAGAGTGGTGAGTTTCATACAATTGATTGTTCTACAATGATCCATAATGTTTGTATTTCGTCGGTGAACGATCGATCTTTACGAAATCCAGCCTGTTGATCTGGAAGTTGAGTGTCTACAAAGTCCTTCATTTTGTTTAACAACAGTCTGTTGAAGACTTTGCCTGGTGTTGAAAGAAGAGTAATGACTCCGTAGTTCTCACACTTACTGAGATGGCCTTTCTTTCGTATTTTTATGAGGTATCCTTCTTTCTAGTCTGTTGGTACTGGTTTTTACCCCCAAATCTTGTTGAAGAGAATGTGGAGTATCTATCCAGTTGCTGCCACGTCTGCTTTGATTGCCTCTGCTGGAATGTTGTCTGGTCCCGCTGCTTTGCCGCATTTGAATTTTCTGATAGCCATACTGATCTCTTTAATTGTTGGTGAGCCAACATGGATTGGGAGGTTTGTTGGTGCTGCTTCGATTTTGGGTGGATTTAGTGGTGCTGGTCGATTGAAGAGTTCCTTAACATGCTGCTCTACCCATCTATTTCGCTGGTCTTCAGTGCTGCTGATTACTTTGCCTTCCTTGCGTTTTACTGGTTGTTCTGGTTTACGATAGTTTCCAGCGAGCTTCTTTGTTATATCGTACAACTGTCTCAAGTTTCCTTATCTTGCAGCCTTTTCAGCTGTCATTGCTAGATCATCCACATATTTTCGTTTGTCGGCTTTGATGCTCCTCTTCACTTGCTTGTTTGCTTCTGTGTAGTCAGCTTGTGCCTTGGCTTTCCTCGATTTTGTTTGGCTGATATTGATTGTTGCCGAAACTTGAGACATCCACTTTGAATCAGTCTGTGCAACAATCTAAAAGATGTTATTTAATTAATAACCCAGAAGACAACCAGCAGAGATATTCATTGAACAAGACCTTTAGAATGAAAGAATATAACATTTTTAGAATAGCTAGAAAGCTCATTTCTACATGAAGTAGGAATAACATTAAGATCTTTAACATGAAATCATCGTCTTCAGAGATCTGAACATTATCATCTGGCGTATACATTTTCCTTAGCATTTTGAAAGTAATTTCTTTCATAACACATTGTCACAGGTAGTGGTTAATTTAAGGCAGAATTTATTACACTATTTTAATCAGTGAACTAGACGACAACATGTACTTTTGATTTACAATTTCGGTTCAATGTCTCATTTAATAATGTATTAACTAGAAAGTGTGAAATTTATCCGATAATCGCAATCGTAAGCGAATCAAATGAACTGGACAGTTGATTTGTTATATTTGGCTACCATTTGCTAATAGATAATAATACTGTTCTACAGAAACAAACTCAGTACTTACAAAGATTGTAGCGATCGGAATCGATTTAAACTACCAAGTTCAGAAATAGCTATGCATTACTACATCAGCTAACTAAATACGTCTCTTTGGTTCAGATGTTTATAGAAATCAGTTGAAAATCATTTTGACAAAGCATAAATAATACATTATTGTTGGTGAGATCGGTATACATCAAAAGTGTCGCACTGAAACATAGACTAACTAATTTCAAAACAAGTAGTTCAAAGTTAATTCACTTGATTTTAACCCTGAAGCTCTTGCCGTCGAACAGTGACAGACAGACTGATATATACTCTTACTCAGTGTAGTTCTATAATTAAATATAAACAACTATCTAGTGCTTCTTGATTTCAAATATTCATTCAGCTTATTATCCTTTTTTTAATAAAATTCAAATACAATTATGAACAATTTAGAAAAAGCCTTAACGGATAAAAAAACTAATGTTTAAGTAGAAATAATATTTAAACTGAGTAGGATTTTTTTTCTCTTCATCTATATTCTGTTGTTGTTGAATAGTGTTGTTGTTGTTTTCAGTTCTTCCACAACTTGAAATCACATTCCTATTGATATACTCAAGGGAAATTATTCACTTATATATTAATTCTAAATTATGTTATAACAATAGTTGTTAATTTAACTGTGTATAGCCCTGAAGGTATAATTACTATGATGTGCTTTAAGTTATGGGTAAAACCAAAGTGAGAAATAAATTTACTGATAATAAGAAAAAAAATGAGAATATCAATTACGTATAAGGTTTGTACAATTTCACAAATGAATATCAAACAGCATTATTCAACTCTTCATTACATCGTATCCGTTGGGCTGTTTTTTTCCTCATTTAAGTAAAATTATTTTCAGAAAAAACTCTTTTTCTTATCAAGCAGTAATTGTTCTTTATATATTGGCTATAAACGTTGATATATTAGTCTTTATTATTAGATATAGATAACATCAAGAGATATAATGTTGTCCATCGTTCACAATTCACACCATATTTAACAGCTTATTTCAGTCTGCTTTCATAAAATAAAAATGTAAGAAATATGAACAGACTGAAAACAATTAATCATCCGTATTATTGAATTGTTGACAGATAACATGAAATATGTCATAGTGTTATTATACTTAAGTTGTTAAAGGAATGAAATGTTGAATAACAAAACGGTAAATCGTTATTTCTCTACTCATAATTCACCACCTCTTAAATGGATACTCACAGCTTATTAGCGCTACGAATGATTAAGGGTAGTAAAACACGCAGTCGATCGAGATAGTGGATATCGGACTGAGCCATGTAGCCAGATGATAAGTTTACAGTTGTGATCTAAAGTGATATTGTGACTTAAGGTACCATAATATAAAGTTTACTGGTCACTTTTTGCTTAGATTCTTGAGCTATATAACAATTAATTTTGTAACTGACTATTTTTGAATTATCTCTAATTTTATCATTTCAACTACTTGAATCTTCGTCATAAAATAATCTTCTCTTTCAACGTTTTAAACTGTAATGTCATAATTGAAACTCATCCACATTCTTATCACGAACCAAGTTACCTCTAACTAATTAGTTCATCTTTATTTTTTCTAATTATTAATGAATTATCTCATGTTATTAATACAAAATTAGGTACAGTTGAAAATATCTATTTTGGTTGACTAGTTTAAAATTATGTTCATTTCGTGTCTTGTAATAGATGTCATGCTTTATCCGATTTTAATCAATAGGTATATACTTCTAAGATCTGTCAAAGTAGAAATAATTAGTGATCAAGAATTATTCGATTTTCAAAAGTTCACAAATTGATGTCCATGTTAGATAAAAATAAACTTTCAGTAGTACAAAAGTTCTAAAATAAATTCCCTATCTACATGGAAATAAAACAATTCACACAGAAATAAAGCATTTAAAGGTTATTTAAAATATTCTACTCTAATGTCATGTGGAACAATAAATAGGTTTGCCAACTAGTTACCAGCTTTTTAAACTGATTAGTGATCTATGCAAACCGATCTTACAATCACTTAATTTGTTTACTTTCATGTCAAATGTCTTGCATACTAGCGTACCAGTTTGGGCGAAGTCGCAGTTTTTTCTCCTATCCAAATGTTTGATCATCATTTTGTAAATGTTTACTCGATTACTGAGTTCATTAGGGTTCATTACTGTGTGATCACACTAATTCATAACATCTGTTCAAGATTTCAATTACTTATAACAAAATATTCACTCCAATATATGTAATTATAATTCTGTTCAAAGCTATCTAACGATGATTTATTTCATTCTCTAACCCTGAAACCCGAAATGGTGTTTGTTGCACATTTTAATTGACTTTATTATTTTATGGAAATATTTTTACATTACAATCAGTGAGCGTTGATCACAATGCACGCTAGTAGGCAAAATCATTCAAGTGCGTTCAATTCAAAAATTGTCCTATTCTTCAGTTTTGTTTTTCGTTTTTCAAAAGAAATCTTTGTTATATTACCGAATCAATAGATTTTCATTATTCTTATATCATAATTTTAAACATTATTATAAGAATATCTATTATTAGTTTAATTTTTAACTTCACTACGATTTTTCTACTTTATCTTGTTAAACATCCCATTTATCAAAATTACAAATATGTTGATTATTTCCTATAGAGAAAATTATTAGCATGTTAGTAAAAGAATTAATTTGTCACACTCGACTAGGTTGTTTCAACAAGTAGAGGAAACCATTATTACTAAACAATCAATATTCTGTGGACTTTATCTTCAATTATGGCAGTTGATTGACTATTTTTGACCATTTTAATAAACAAGAGTTCTTACTTAGAACTTAGAAAATTGTTTATAAACCGCCATTTGAACTGCTACTTTTTCTTCAAATTCATGACATTTTCTAGAATATTAAACTTTATTTAAAATGAAACAAATCAAATCAGTTTTAACTTGAGACACTTAATAATAATGTTTGCGCATTGAGAAACACAGAATTAAACCATTAACTAGTCAGTCATTTAATTGAAATTTAATAATCTATGTAAATCGACCTCAGTTCATCAGTAATATATACCATGGGTATTAATCTAATTATCTTGGTGAATATGAAAAATGAATTAAAATCATTTCTATTACGTATGAAAATTAGTAAATGCATGCACAAACTAGATACATGTCAATATACCAGATTACATAAGTGATAAAGTACATTTTTTTCATTTCATGGGTTTTACATAAATTAAAATAGTGTTTATCAACTTTTTTGTTTCGGTTTTCTTTTTCATTTCACATAAATTGAAAAGATACTAGGAAGTTCACTGTGTAACTCTGTCAATAGTAGTTTTGGGTTTGCGAGTATGGCGTCACTTATGCAATTTATGATTTCCCATAAATTGGCAGTACGACATACTTTTTTATAGTTGAATACTTTCGCGTATGTTTTAATGAAATACAACTTCCAAAATACTTTCATGTATGTAACATACACTTGTGGTGTTCTTTACTTCAACTTTAAAAATTCTGTCATCAGTATGAGAACTCCGTATTTAACTTGCGTTTACTGACGATTTTTTTCTCAATTATTTTCTTTTTAGTTCATCCTTGTCATAATTACTGTCATCGAGGACATTGTTACATTATAGATGGGAAACCGTATTGCAGGTAACCACTTTTAAATTTGACAAAAACCCTTTTTTTGAAAATGTTTAAAATTATGTAAGATTGTCAAATAATTTGTTAAACATAAGTCAGTCGACAGTGAAGAAATGGTCACTGACCAAGTTCTTAATCTTTTTTCATATTAAAATTATGAATCAATCATTTTTAGACCATCATTAGAAACCTGGAAGCACTGGAAGGCCGTTTCGTCCTGCCTTGGGACTCATCAACAGTGCGTATCCACAACTTCTGCTACACTCTAGGCCTCAATGATTCTAAGTAAAAAATATATATACTTCGAAAAATATGTTACGCTAAAAAGACAAAAAAATTCTAGATTTTACAGTTAAAATAAATGTCAGCAGATAGATATCATCTGGAACTTGAAGAAATGTGAACATTATGCATATTAACTATACTGAAATGTGTAGTTTAATGTGGAATGTTACATTTATAAAAATTTCGAATTTTGTTTCTTCCTAGTAACAATATATTTGAATAAATTTTTAACATTATTTTTTTCTAAACAAATATTATCTTCATTCGATTGTTGGCCTTTTGACAAAATACTGATCATTCTTAGCTAACATAAGTTCATCGTAAACAAATCGACTCTGTAACACGATGGACAGCTAGATTTAGAGTGAAATGCATTGGATTCGTATAGCTGAGCGAACATTCATTCTAGGATGCATGTAGTTCCTTATTACGAGTTTTCAATAGGAAAGATGGCAGGTTCTGGATCGCATTATAAATTAGAAAAAAAAACTAAATATTTTGTTCAAAGTGAATTAAACGGCTATGAAAAGTTATTATTAAATGTCTATTCTAAAAAAAATCGTCTATCAGGCACATGGTTACGCGGCTTCTTTGTGTAGTACGATGATTAAAAACAGCTATAAATATTTTTGCCATAAAAAAACATCCTTGGATTAATCAGGCTAATAAAACAATGTGCTTGATGCATGGTAGTAGTTATGCCAAGCTGATGTTAAATGAACTGCAAGTTATTTGAATCGATTATAATTTGTAGATAAGAAGCTTGTGGAAAAAAAATTTTTGATAAAGAAGTTTCCAGTTCTACAACGTTCCAAAATAATCCTTAAATAACGTGATTATTGAAATAATTCTACTAATACAACTCAACTGCACAGTAGCTTAATTAAAACGACGACCGCATAAAAAATAAACCATAACCGTTTAACTGACTGAAAAACTAGATTATGTGTCTGTTAATTATTTACAAGTTATTCGTTACAAATAAAATGTTGTAGCGAATACTACAATAATGCACTATTTTGTAACATAAAGGTTTCAGGAAAATATACTTATCAAACATTGCATTTTTAGTTTTTTTAGAATTTTAACATTGTACAATTTTAAAATTTATTGTCCCAATTAAATATTTCTAAATCGTAATATTCTTTATTTAAAAAGAAAATCATTATTTTTTAACGAGCGATTCTATTGAATTTCACATGTCAGAAAATACAAAACCAAATTCGGCAGCCCTATTCAATCAAAAATTCATTCATACTTATAATATCTGAAATATATTCATAAATAAAAAAAATGAAACTTACAATTTTTAACAAATAATTAATCATCCCTTTCATTTAATCATATTTCAATTTAGATGCGATCCACAATATTTGGGTGAACATTGTGAGGTAGTGTAACAGTTGTAATAATATTATTATTCAACTTAATAAAATAAAGACAAAATTATTTATGCATAATTCACTTTGAAAAATATTATTAATTTGTTTTTTTTTATATAAAAAATTGTCAGATAACTGCTAAACTAATTGATGCTTAATTTATGCGCGATGCATGCAGTATGTGTTTGCTAGCTAATTTAGCATGCTTTAATGATGATGATAATAATAAGAAAGTTGCTTGAAATTTTTAATGATTAATTTTATGATTTGGTGAATAACATCTTTGCATTTTAAATTGTAAAATATTATCAAGTATTGTCGGCAAAATTTATGGGATTATCTACAATGATAGTGATTTTATCATTTTCTTTGATAATGACATTTACTTACTCACCTACTTACTCCTGTTACTCCTCATGAAGTATAGGCCACCAGCCAAGATTCTTCAAACAACTCTGTCCTGAACTCTCCCTTCTAATTGTTACCGTATGCTATTCATTATTGTGATGACTGCATAGAGTTCTCCGCATAATGTGCTCCTTTGCATTCCTTATCACCTTTCGCTTGAGGATGTGTACAAATGTATGCGTGATAGGATTTTATAAAATATAACAGCCTTATGCGCTGACCTGTTTTTCTCGAAAATTAACATTTGTAACAAGTACACAAGTGATAGCTTAATTGAAAGTGTTTGATCGTTTATCATTTCAATACTTATGATTAAAACAGCAATCGATTTTTGTTAGTTAATTAACTTCAATCAAATGATGAGCTTCACAATGGGCTATAAGTTTTATATCAAACTAAGCACACAAGCTTCGTATCCACATTTATTCTGACAAAACACACCTCAATTAGGAAACTTAATCCTAATATTTAAACAATTAGTAAAAAGTAACCTAGAAGTTTGACAGAGCTATTATCAATAAATATGGTGAGATTTATATTTTCTGAAAAATAATTAGTGTTGATATTTGAATTCACTTCGTCCTCATTTTTTCAAAAAGTGTTTTCATAACCCAATTTCAATTGAATAGTAACTTCAGGTTGTTAATTTCATAACATTACCAAAAGTGGCAAAACGTAGATTATTAGTACAACCTTGTCAAGTTTATGACAAAAAACAGAACTACATGATTTAAACATATCAAGCAACATTTTCTGCACCAGAAAATATTCTTGTTCAATGTTATAGTATAAGGTCAAAAGTGACGTTAGTTTCATCTAAGGTAAATGAAAATGGAACAAGTACTCCTAATAAGTGATTCGATTTTACACATTTATGAACTTTCGAAAAACTTAAAGTTCATGCATAATATATGCTAGACTGAAGATCCTAGGCTCAAGCACCATAGAGTAACGAATGCTCACTGTTGGAATAAAATTTCCAAGTGTTTTCCGGTTTTAAATGTTTCCATAGGACCAAATCGTCATGTGAACGATGAAGAATAATGAATATAAAAGATTGAGTAGCAGAGCCATCTTTTTCAATTTCGCATCGTTTTGCGACAGACTGACTAAGTGAAAATTAGTTTATTCTTCAGGCTTCCGTAATGACAATTTAACCAGTAGTTAGAAATTTAACCACTGACTCATATTTTTTGCGTTTACGAGTCCTAATACGCTTGACGGAAATGTATGCTTCTATACTATTAACTTCGTACCATCATATATAGACATATATATGTAATGCATTTTAGAGAAAATTGACTTTTGCTTTTAAATAAATACACAGATAAAAATCTGAAGGGTAAAATATTTACTCATCCAGATGAGTATTACATCGTCACCTCTGACTTTAAAATTTATTAACATTCCAGTAAATGTCATCACTGTTTTATCTTGTCAGCCGACTTTAATAAGTTACCAGTAAATGAAATGATAAAAAGTTTTTAGAAAAAGTATAAAGTACATACATTATCAATGTATTCTTATTGTTAAAACTAAACAAACATAACCCATTTCTGCAGTAATCTCACCTTTAAAATGAGTAATTTCGAAAATATTTACTTGTTCATTTAGTGCATTGAAAATAAAATCTTTTCAGAAAATTCCAAATGCATTTCATGTAATCTATATACACATATTACATGATAGTACAGGGATTTTCTATAATATAAAAATAATTATGAAAAGCTATTTTCATAAAAAATTGATTCCATCTGGAGAACTATTTTAAATTGGTCGTCCAGTTTGGTAATCTTCAAATGTACCCATCCACAAACCGAGATGGGACTGAATTCAGCAGTGTATCTATAGATTTTTGAGTCCCAATTCCAAAGTTTACATTTTCCTGGTTAGAGAAGTTTGCCCATTTAAGTGACTAAGCTTTTTAAACCGAACGAAACCTACTCCACAAATAAACAAAAACCATTAACTTCCTATTTCAGTATGCAATTTTTATTGCATTCTATTGTCGAAGTGCATAGTAGTTGACAAGATGACAACTTTTGTAAGTTAATTAATTGAACAAGGGAATTTAGTTAAATGATTTATCCATAGAATAATATCAATTGAATACAAAGACTGGTTGAATTATAGTTTTAGTCAGTACTAGATAACAATTGTGCTGAATTGATTAATTTTATAAAATATGAGGTTCGATTAGATTTAGCTCAACAGTTTACCCAGATCCTACTGATCTTGTATTGATCTGATTAACTACCTTATACTAATATACCAGAGTGATTGATTTTCACTGATACTTCAAATGATTACAGTTCCAAATTAAGACTTTCTGTTAAGAATATGAATACTGAATAACTCCAATCAAACTACTAAAAGATGCTGTACCATGAAATAACATCTCATGATTCACATTATTAAAAATTCCGTCATCAATGTTTATTCAAAATAGTTCATAAATCAATTCAATATTCTTTTGTTGTATTAAAATAACTTAATTACAAATCATTTAAATCAAAGAAAATCATTATTTGTGTAGAGCACAGCGTATAAATAATACTTTTAATGAACACCAACACATTTGTATTATTCCTAATTTTATATTCGTTTAATTTCAATTACAATTTTCTTATAATAAAATGAACCTATTGTATCTCATACAAAATAGAAACCTAAACAATTTTTCCTCATAGAATGAGATTAGGTCTACTTACTGTACAATGAGATATTCAAATCGTGCTATGCATTGTGTTCATCAGTTACACTCAAACTTTTCAAAGATTATATGTATTCACGACGAGGTATTGATTTCAGTTTTCATTAATCTGTGAGCTTTTTTCCAGAGAACAATTATTCCATTGGGTGGAATGTGAAAAGTTTATGCTTTTCTTTGCAACTTTTCATAGAATTAATTTCGGACTCTTTTTTATAGCTTCAGTACATACGTCCGCAATCCACTGAGTTCTCTTCATTGTCAAGTGGTCCTTGTTACTTGTTAAACAAATTCACTGATCAAAAAAATAGTCTGCCATTTTTTTTTCTATTCTACTACTGATTCTTTATTTTGTACACGATGAATTACTTTTTCCCCTCAGTGAACTCACGTAGGAAATATGGTAGAAAATCATTTGATTTACACTTACGTTTATTGTAAACCTGAATAAAATTGAGCATCATCTAAAGCCATCGTTCGCATAACGAATAAAACATTTTTTTCGCCCTGAAGATATAAAAGGAAGGAATGTTTATGATAGAAAATAACTTGTCCATTTATTGATTCCTTCAAAAATTCCGTCGCCATAATATTGTATACTTAGATATAATAAATGTGCACTTCATATTACGTATATATACAGATATATACGTAATTTATTATGTTACGTAAATCACATGAATAGACGCTAAATAAAATGTTTTATTAAATATAACCGTACTTTAGATGATTTTATAACAAGATAACAACAAGGAAAACGATAAATGAGAATTTCTTTTCTTCAATACGTATTAATACATTATTATTACTATTATTATTATTACATATGGTACCCATTATTATTATGATTATTATTACCGCTGTTTTGATAGCGCACTTACTGGCTACTTGTTATTTTATTTAAGAATCTGGTGTTTACAATATATCAAGGCAAAGTGTAGTGATCATAATACCAATAAGAATAATAATAATTGTAATAACAATATTTCAATAACATCATATAACAGCTATGTTTAGCTGTAAGGTTATTTGACTATTTTTCCTTGCAAGGAATTAAATAAAACACTAATTTAGTAGAAGATCAAAATAAGAAAGAAAGATTATTATTACTATTATTATTGTTGTTGTTAAACTGTTATCAATAAATATATATTGCTGTACATGTAGGTATAAAAGTAATTATCTATACATCATACATACTGACCTAATCTAAGGATAATACAGTTAATTAACAAGATGAATAGTTATTACGATAGGATCTCTTAAAAGATTTATCAACAGTGTAACAGTGGAACAAACATTCACCATAAAAATACCAGGAGATTATTTCTTCATTTCTTCATCATTATAGTTTATGATTGCTCAAGCAATGAATGACCAACTAAAAATCCGACTCACTTTTTCACTGCATTCATAAGATATCATTGAATCAAGGAATTCAATCTGTAACATCTTAATTTTTCATTAACAAGAATGATATCAAGGTGAATAGAATAATCAAAAAAAGAACTAATTCAATATTTCCGATTTCCATGATACAATTTTTCAATGTAATTGATTAGAATTTAAACAAATAGACATTAGTTCAACACTTATTGAACTAAAGTTGGCATTTTTTTTAAATCCAAAATTTATTCGATGGTAACTGTTCATTATTTAGTGATTTCTAATGCGTTTTGTTACATTACATCAACTTCATAGTTTAATTCAAATATATTTGAATGATCAATCCTTTAAAATGAAAATTAATATCACTTATTCTTGAATGTTTTTTTAACTTACACGTTCTAAATTAACAACATGTCGTATTTTTAAAAATTTTGAAAGTTTTCTTCCGTTTTAAAAATCCATTTAAATATTAAATACGTTTTAGGTGAAAAAATACTAATTTGAATCAGCCAAAGCGTTATAGATGAAAACTAAATCACATTAATTCATGAAATATACAGTAAATTTCTTGAGGAAAAAAAACTTGACCAAAACTATTAACATGAAATTATTGTTATCTCTTTCAGTATATTGAAAATAAAAGGATTAGAAAGACTTATTTACCCAGTATTGAAATTGTTAAAACATATTTCATTCAAATTATACAGTGTTATGCACGTACAATGATTTTCATACTAAAATTTTACCGCATAAATGCATTTCATATGCTTGTAATTCATTGGTTTTTTACGAAAAAGATTATTACAGGATTGTAACGAGTTTTTAAAAAATGCTTCTACAAAGTAATGAAATCAGGCTAAATAAATCTTTCATAAATTTCAAGTTTGAAACTTTGAGTCATCAGGTAAAACTGCAACATAGATAACAATTAACCTGTTATTCTATATTTAAACGTTTATATGCTACTTTCACAGTGAATGACCGGTCGAAATGCATTAAAGGGTTGAAAAAGTGACAATGTTTACGATCTCATAGCCAAAACTTTCCTGATAAGGAAATAACAACTTGAATTCTAATGATTATTCTGTACATTACTTCTTTCAATATAACTTCTAACTGTATTATCATCTGTGCTTGATATGTAATGCCTATTATTAGTGATAATTGACTAACTTTACAGTGTATGTTGGTGTCAATAATAATGCTGTAATATGAAATAATGCCATGCTTCATTATGCATTTTGCATGCATCTCTTGCTTCATGCTATTCACAATTCTGTCACAAATGTTCAGTAAAAATAATTTATGAGTTACACGTTTTTATAAACGTTGAATCACTCATATTTTTATCAATTTGATTATGCTTGTAAGGTAGTGTGCATTCTGTGATAATCATTTTTCATGAAATATACTACTCTTTTTATGTTAGATTATGTAATGTCACATTTTCATACTGTGACTTTTAATGCATAAATCTAAATGACAGAAAATAAATAAATAAATTATGGCAAGTTGATAATATGTAAATGCCTTCAAATCATGGACTCTAACTATCTATGCAAAACTATACTTATATTGAAGTTAAAATGTCTAATACAACCTCTCTAATGGAGGCTTTCAAATTTCTATCATTAGATCAAACTAGAATAACAGTTAGTAAACTATGCAAAATAAAGCATATGTTATCCATAGTAATCAATTTAACACGCGTGATTTGAATCGATTCAAAATCACATTTTTGCATATGAGAACAATTTATTATTTTACGAAGATACGAAAATATATCAGTGGCCTATGCTCCATTAGGAGCAACAGGCACAAGTAAGTAAGTAGTTAAGTAATGAAAATTGATCTTCATTTCTACACATTTGAAATCATCAAACAATCATTTTTAGACCACCATTAGAAACCTGTAGCACTGGACGTCCGTTTCGTCCTGGTATGGGACTTATCAGCAGTGCGCATCCAAGACTCCTGCATCTCGTGAACCGTTGGATGCCGGCCAAGTGGTCCGATGGTTCGGCGTTCCCGCACAATACCGAAGGTCTTGGGTTCGAATCCTGCGAGATGCAGGAGTCTTGGATGCGCACTGCTGATGAGTCCCATACCAGGACGAAATGGCCGTCCAGTTCTTCCAGGTTTCTAATGGTGGTGTAAAAATGATTGTTTGATGATTTCAAATGTGTAAAAACACAAATCTCCAAAACTCTGCCCGAAAATATCTACATTTCTATATAAACATTATTTATTCTTCTATTCAGTTGCAATAGTCGCTGATCAGAATAAATTATCGTAAAAGTTGTATGGAAATAAAATTCATTTATGATATATATAACAGTGAATATGCCATCAATGAATAGAATATTACGTGATTCACTAGTGATTTGCATTAGAACTACTCTAGAGGCTTTGAGTAAGAAATTAAGCTTGATAAAGTTTAACCATATTCAGAGTGAAATAATCATCATTGATGATATTACCATGTACTTGTACTATGTAGCAAACTAATTAACAATTTAAATGTGGACCACTATATTTCACATTTAACTGTTTAAAAGTAATATGCGCACAATGCAAACTTTAGGTGTTGCGTTTACTTCCTAAAATAGTTTCAGATGAATACAGATCAAACGTCTCATACTACTCAGAAGTACTTCATCAATACTTCCTGGTTTTCAATAATTTTTCAACTGATACCGATATCTCCGTATTAACAGATTTGAATGATAATATAATCTCTACAACAAACTTACTATTACGAAAATTTCAGTGTAAGCAAAAATACTTTATCATTTTAGGGTTGTGAAGATTGTTGGATTTCATTGAAAGCATGAATCGATCAATTTTAGACCATCATTGGAAACCTGGAATCACTGGTTGGCCAATACTAGAACGAAACTGCCATCCAGGGATTCTATGTGGTTTAACATTGATCGACTCATGTTTTTAATGAAAAATATCTTGTATCTAACAGATATTATCTACCATTAAAGATGGCATTTTTGACCATAATAAAATTATGTTTAGGCGGATAATAATAGTACTTTTTACTTTATTCCGGAAAAATAATTTCATAGTACAAACTCTATTGTCTACGCAGATAAAGCAATAATGTTATTTTTATCAATTCGAAATTTTCACTTAAAACATCCAACATTTCAAATGTAACATGTTTTCTGAATCGATCAAAATCCATCTAACCTGAATAAACAATATGTTTCTTGTTTGGCGAATTTCCTCAGAATATGTGCAGACAATCATCATTAAACGATGAAGATAGAGTATAGCTCATGTGGAAAACTACAATGGAGTTTCGTTCTCCGAACTGGATGGTTTGAATGTGGGGTTTCCGTTGCTCTTTTGAACATTTTTGAACATTTTGAACATTCCTACCTCAAGTTTGAGATGATAATGTGGTTCAGAAGAACAATGGAAGCTTCATGACTAAACTTTCCAGTTCAGAAAACAAAAGTCAACCACAGAAAATCTTTATCCTAGATAGAATATGACATTATGCTAATTTTAAAGAATTGTTACAAAGTTTGTGTATGATGACAAAGAGCTGTTGTTACTGAAATCTTATTAGTCGCTACTGTAATTTCCATTAAAAATATAAAATATTACATTTTTGAGATTTTCATCAAAATAAAATGCTTTTTTCTTGAATCCAAAAATTGTTTTAGTTGCATTTCCCAATATCGTGGAGCAAGATGCGACCTTTTTACACCAGAAAAAGAAGAAAACCAGTTGGAACTTCTACCAAATAATGAACCGAAATTTGACTCATGTGAATCTGGTAAGATATGACGATGAATATTTTGTCTTATAAGTGGATTTTGTTTGAGTTACTTTTTAACATCAGATAATGAGTAACTGAATCTGTGATATGATACCCAAATAAATATTTTGTCTGATGAAAAGAACCTCGAAAATAAGATCGCTTGATATTAGACGACTGCATACGAGCGAAACCATAGACAAAGATTTTGTACTAAGTAGAATATGTCATCAAGGAATATCTGAAGTCTTTTGGAAATTCTGATTGCTCAGAGTATTTGAACACAGTTAACACAGTGTCATCCTCTAACATAGTGTTTTCATATAGTCACTTCCTGCTTGTACTTGTGTGTTGACCACTCAGTCATGAGTAAAATCTTGCACGTATATACATCAGTACAAGCTATCATATCACATCAATAGATACAGATGAAACTACCGAGATAAATAGTGAAGCAGTGAGAATAGCAGTAGTATCATTGGTAATGAGAAGAAAATATGCACAGAGAAGATACATGACACAGAAAGCACATGTTTGATTTGGCCTTCATTTATCACATACATCAAGTTGAGTAATCAGAAATACGGTGAATTACCGACTTCCTGTGTAGCTCGAAGCATACCGAGGGAAAGATAAATTTTAACTGTTATTTATTCTGAGATATCGATTGGGATGAAGTAGTTTGGCAAAAGCGATGACAGTATGAGGCTTGGTAATAGCAGTTTGCAAGACCGGACTAGATAAATTGACTCCAAAACAAGATCGTTAGTAAAAAAAGTGATTTTTTTTCTGTCCGACTAAATATTAACGAAAAGATGAGATAATTAGATGTTACAAATGATTAGACGGATCATTTACTATTTAATTAAATCATCGTATCACCTGGATTCACAGTTGACAATAAGGACTCACTTGGACGAGGTAATCATAGAATAGCCTTTTCGTCCCACTTTGAGACTCTTCAGCAGTCCACAAACATCTTGACGGCTGTAACTGAGGTCAGGACCTTGAGATCTCGAGATGAATGGGTTAGGTTTTAGAAACGTCAAGTTGATATACAGTAATTCATATTCCTCATTTCAATCGATTACCGATGATAATCAGATATGGTGTATAATTAATGCATTCCTGATATTAATCCATGTTTGGTAGTTAAGAATCGACTGAATAAGCTCCAGCTCCAATGTCTTCTGAATGGACTCTTATCTATAACAACGACAATTCTCAATAATCATACAAAAATTAAACCGAAAATACGATAAAAATCATTATCCGATTATTATTATTATTATTTATGAAAGATCAATTTCCGCCTTAAAAATATATATATATATATATATATATATATATATATATATGTATTCATGTTCATTCATTCGAATTCAGACTAAATATTTTTGAATTAGAAATACAATGTTGTTTAAAAATGATTCATGAGACGCAAGTGATAGCCATACGTTAATTATAAATTCAATCAATTAGTTTCTTTTTATAATAACGAATTCTGAAAAAAAATTACACTACTCATGAAATAAAATGTATTTTTTAAAATATATTTTCATTAAGTATCAACAAATTAAAATTGAAAATTATAAATAAAAATAATACATTAATTAAATTCTACATAAAAACTTTATGATCTATATTTTATGAAAGCAAGTTTGTAATGTTAATATTCATATCACTGTCTCATTAAAATGTAACAGAAATTCAGTAAACAATGAAATCAACCATTCGATTGTTTTATAATTAAATTTGTTACTCTATTTACCACGTTATTAAGTTATATCACCTAAAATACATTTCGTGAATTAGTAATTTTCCAATTTCGACAGTGTCACCCTGTATGACCATAGGGATTAAATTAGTATGGAAACATCAGATGATCTCATCAACCTAACTGGCTTCGGATCTTAAAAAAAGCGAGAGTCATGGTGCGCTGTTCAGTATTTCCAGGTTTCTAATGGTGGTCTAAAAATGATTGATTCAAGATTTCAGTAACAAAGTTGTTTTCGATATGCGATTGTGCATAGTTTCATTATGGCGTGGAAAAGTATAGTCTTAATGGTGTAATGTACCGTAATTTGCAGTGAGTTTTACTGTCGAATTTACAACTGTTTACTGGATCTAATTAAAATAAAATTAGCCCCGATAAACCAATTATTCTCACTGAACTAGGTTAACAACTGATTTTGTAATTTGTCCACTTGAACATCCATCAAATTCTAAAGACAGTAATACAATTATTATTCACTTATCGAACCAATATTAAATATGTCGATCTTTTGTTCCGTTTGCATTTACCATGCAAATCAAGAGACAAATTGAAATGCGTCCTTCCTAATACCAAAAGTTACATATCACTTGAACTTCAATACCGATTCAATTGTTTGTGTCAATCATTTGCTAATTTTACAGTACTTACAACACATTTCCTCCAACAAAGTACACTAAATAATCACAAATTTCAAAAAATATTTCAGCTTATTGTATTGCTTTGTAATCGAAATGAGAATGACTGAATTGGTATTTTGATCTTAAATATTAATCTATGTAATCCATCTTTAAAAAAAAAATTTGAATGAATCTGACAAGTTTAAAACAGTCTTCACAGTTTGCATTTTCAGCAGACGAATTACCAGTTATTAATACTCACATATAATGTACAGCTCGAATATAAGTAAATAAACATATGTCTGACAAATGAGTTACAATTTAAATTATATTGATTCCAAAAATAATAGCTCCTTCAATAAGAATAAGATAGTTATGTTTGTATTTTGTCTTGGTATTTATTATTTCTCTAATTAATTTCACTTTGTAAGGAAAATAATTGATAGATTGTACAAACTTTTGACAAAGCCACTAATACATTGCATGAGTAAATCATAAATGTAATTGACCGAATAAACTACTTACTAGGTAAACAACTTATTGTTGCAAGAAAATGACTGAAGCAGGCAAGTGAAAATTCTGAAATGATAAACTTTTTGCATTATATTCAAAAAGCGACTGCGATTTAGATTCTAAAATTGCACTGTAAGCATTCATAGAATAAAAGTTTTGTTTAATAAAGTTTCAATTGAAATAAACTATTTTCCAATGTAGTTATTTTTATTAGTATTATTTGTTTAGCCTATTTGTAGAGTAAGCAAATTAAAATGATTCTATCTTATCTTGAATAGTTTTAGTTGTCACTATTTCATATCTTACCAGAATTGATAATGTAGTTGGTCGATGTTTACAACTGAATGTTTAAAAACAAGTTTGCAAATGCATGAATCTAAGTGTGGTGACTGTATAGATTTGTTTATAACTCTTACTCAAACTTTCAAGGAAAAATCTAATTCCGACACTTAATATTTGAGTAATACGACAAATACATTTTTCCTAGAGGAATAAATTTTTTAAGATAAGATTCTATATATAAAAGTAATTGATGAGATTTCAAAAGTTAATGGAAATAAATCGATCATTAAGCACAATTTATTCGAACTGTAAAGTTGACAAATAGTATCAACTAAGAATTCAGATACTTAGAAAAACTGCTATTAAATGAAACGTATTGAAACAGTAGTAATAATGCTGGATAGAAAGTGCTCCACACTTTAAAAAAGTATCAATTCATTTTTTTTGGGACTAAAATGATCAGCATTATATGCTCTAAGCAAACTAAAATCGAATACCTTAAATAAATAAAATAAATTTCGGTTTCATAGAAGTAATACATCATTTTTATAATCGCACCGACTAAGAATCATCATCATTATTCAAAATTCAGTTTATTTGATGTAAATATTAATAACAAACTTGCAAACGGAATAAGGCACACAAGTGTGAATTTATAATTACAACTAAATTTCTTGTTCAACTGATTTGGCCGACTGATGTTCTTGCTCCAAGGCCTAATGATAACGAGTTCTATCTTTGATAAATTTGCGAATACTTATACTCGGACTAATATTCTACTTGTTTCTAACTTGTTACATACCTAAAATCACTCTGTGAAAAAAATTAATAATTTGTAAGTGAATAAACTTCATAAAAATACAGGTAATTAACTTAATTTAAAAACGTAGAGCATTTGCAGCTAAAATTAAATGTTTAAGCTTAGTCCCTTATGGGTTTTGCACTAATGAAATATCTCAATCTTGAATGAAACAAAACTCCATTATTCTTCTGTATTCATAGAAGAATTTAAAGTAATAAAAAAAAAACTCATGATAGAATTTAAACTTCACAGAAATATGAAAAAAATTTTCTTCAAATTATGAAGTGATGAAAAAAATTTCATTCATATCATATTGATATTTTTAAATTATTTTTTTCTATGCTTTAAATTCATGAAATTGAAGAAAACAAATTAGGTTATTAAGTTACAACACAAAAAATCTCATTGTGTTCTTTCTTCTTCTAAAAACGAATTGTTTTTGACAAGATATCAATGAAATAGTTAGAACCAAGAACAGCAAAAAAAATACAGAATAAATCTTTGAATAATAAGTACCATTGTTTGTAATGTGTCATAAAAAACAGCATAAGCAAAACATAACTAATGTTTATCGTTTTACAAATGAACCATCATCCTCTTACTATTGTATATCTTAGTGCATTATATATCCATTCCATTGTGTGTACGCCGATTTGTGTACGCATAAACTAATGAAGAATATTAATAGGAACATGCATACAATAAGAACCATATAAAAAATTACACATATTTGTTATATATATATATATATATATATATATATATATATATATATATATATATATATATATGTTTATCAATTGTAAATATATTTTAATCCATGCTAATTTCATGAAACCATGTCATCTGGTTAGCATACATTTATTTATTGTGTAATATGGTATTTTGTCTGAAGTTTATCTACTTATGTAAAAATAAAAACAGTAAAATAAATCCAGTTTATTTATCTTGTCAGCTTTGTGTTAGCATTTAATCGAAATCCTTGGCAAAAAAATGTGTAAGATTGCCACATGTCAAAATTAACATATACTATGTACTGAAAATAATTTTCTTTACAATAATTAAGGAAGTATCAAGTATGTATATATACTTTGTAGTGACGAGCATGTTGAATTTCAACAAATTAACGAAATTTATATTTGTAAACTTTCATTTTTTTTTAATACATAAAATAATGATAATAACATTATTATTAATAATAATAATACTGATAATAATGACTAAAAAGAGAACAAGATAAAACGAATAACTATTTTGTTCATAAGTAAACAACCACTGATGATGATCATTATTAATTTACGTATTCGTTGTAGATAAATATTTTCACCATTATTAAAATAAGATTTCATAGATTTTCCTGAAATAGGTCAGTAGACAATCCAAAGTCGTTGTATAACTCATTTCCATTAGTAGGAGTTTCCTCAGCTGGAGAAACTTTTCATGATATCAGAGATTGAACTAGAGATCTTCAGGACTCATGGAAATTATTTTATTTTTATACTGTTGAGTTGTTCTCAGTTGTGTGTGAACATGATACTTCTTAACCGAATAGCCTTTTAAAACAGATGAATTAGAGTAATTTTGCACAAATCATATTATAGTAACATTTAACAGTTCGGAACTTACCTGTTTACCTGTTAAATATTATTCATTATAAATAGGTGGTCCAGTGTAAAAGTTTTTATACCTGAAAGAAAGACAATAATGCTTTTTATTAAACTTTTACGTGTAATCACAAAATATTTAACAGATGTTACTAAATCTAGATACAGTATTCTTTTGTTAGACCTGAGGGAATATATGAAAGCAGTGAAATAACAAGACCTCTTAATATTACAGCATACTGATTACTTAACAAAAATTAAATAGTAGGAAACAAACATATAAAATTCAAATTCAGTTTATTTGAATTGATGAAAAGTATATTAACTTATATAGTGGTATGAAAACACGGATAAAAATCTGCATTATGCAACATATAACCAATAACCTTTACATATAGTGGAGAATATCGTGAATGAGTTTTCTAGCGAAAACTATCAAGTTGCAAACGTTTCCTAATAAGCATTGAGTTTCTTCATATAGGACGAGTTTATAGTTTGAAAAATTGCACATTGTAATTGTTGGATATAAACTATATGATATGACCTGTTTTTCCTAATGCTGCTTAGAATCATAAATTACATTTCTAGCGAAGCTATTTTTTTGAAAGAAATGAATTAAATGACCAATTTTTTCAATCCTTCACTAGATGACTCACTATGAATGAAACAAGATTATTTGTTCTAATAATAATCCTTTGAGTGCCTACTTTTTGACAGGATTCCATATTCTGATCGTTCTACTATGTCTCCTTTGCATTTGTCCTTCACTACACCTAATGCTTCATCAATTCGACACTAATTCACTTACGTTTTGCTCAGAAATTTCGCAAAAAATTTAGAAAACTGGGTAAAACTAGGATGATAAAACATCTGAAATTGAGTCTAATGAACAGATCACTAATTAACACTATCCATTAATGATGACTTATTGCTCAGTGACCAATCTAATGATTTAGGCAATAATGAATTTCATAAGCTGGCTGATATATTAAATGTTCCCTAAAATGTCAGATCGATAAAAATTTCATTTACAATGTCGTTCATTTCAAATATTAATTTAAAGAATTTCCACTTTTTCAATCTGTCATTTATTCAGCTTATAATAAATCATTTTTAATTGCTCTTGCAAATAAAAAGCTTTTAGCTTTTGACTTCGAAAATACACTTACCAGTTTGATTAAATACTAACTAATATGTATAATTCGACATTATTTGAAAGAAAGGAATTTTATGGATTTTATAGTAAAAACAGTTTGCTTAAATTTGTAATAATGCATTTATATTGTGAATGTTTGAATCTTTCAACTAATAACTTGGCTTGCAACTGATCAATGTGTGTTTGGTTTATGTGTATTCTCTGCAGATTGCCTTGACATTGCCATTAAGTCAGGGGGCATTATAAACAGGGACCGATAATGGCTAGCATGCTGACATTAAAAGCTTCAAACAGTTAAAGCCGTTTCCTGAGTGCCTATATTCAACGACTGACTGGCAAACTTCGATTCCGGATAAAAATTGTTTTTACGAAAATCTATCTTTACAAGCTCTGTGTCTTAATTACAGAGTTTATCTTCATGTATAAAACTGCTGCTCCTGCTTAATCTAAACACAGTGATTTTATTTTGTGATTTAAAATATTAAACTTGATGAAGTATTTTAATTTAAACTTTCATAGTTATTTCCCTCTACCAGTTATTTCATACTCTCACTGATACTTATTATAAAAAAATATAAGTAAACTCATATAAATTTAATCATAGGTTATATTCAGTTGTTGACATCAGTTATATATGACAAAGAACATCAAAAAAGAACTAAATAACTATGTAGTCTTATTTTAAATCAACTCAGTAGTACCAACTCATAATTGTATGTATAATCAAAGCAAAGCATTAAAAACTTCTTTAATACATAGTTTGATTCCTATATACCGTCACTTACAGATAACTGCTATGGTTCCAATGTTGTTGAACTTTAAACGAGAAGTTTCTGGCAAATCTGTACAAATGTCCGTACTTATGGCTTTTTAATTACCTAAACAGTATTATTAGGTAACTTATGCATCAAAAATAACACCCAACTATTAAATTCAAGATATAAAGTAGTAGAAAGAGTGCAACAATATCACTCATCATTAATAAAATGAGTCATATATTTTTTTACTGTCTCATTAAACATAACCAGTATTGAAGAGTCCCATGTCCAGTGCGTTCTATCTTTTGATGATCGTTTAGATAATATCAAGCTTAGGACTTAAAATACTACTTGACTAAAAATCGTTTCGTCTTATCACATTTTCACTAATACATATTTAAATAATCAAGTAGTTTTAATATATTGATCACATACTCTTGTTCACTATGTTGATCTTCTTCTTATATGACAGCCTTGGTGGGTCTTTCTAAACAAACTTAAAGCCAGAGAGACTTTTGTATTGATTGAATAAACACAATCATTGTTTAACATACTTCTACAATGATAAAAGTTCTCTTAATTTGTTATATTTTCATTTATCATCTCTTGATCATTTTTTTCCAATTTTTTTTTGTTTATCTGATTAGGCTGTGAATCAAATCTTGCTCGCGTTCTTTTATTTTCAACAATCGGTATTCTCTTTTCCTTGCTTTTAATTTTTTTTCTATGTTCAATTTTTCAAATTTGGTAAGTTCTTCTTTGTTGATGTTTTCAGTTTTATAATTTGTTTCGTTGATTTGTTTTTGCGCATTAAAGAAATTATCAAGTTAAATGTTTTATTTTAAATACTGTAAGTGTATGTCAACTTCAATGTTTAATAGAGGCGGTAAACAGTTTGTATGATCAAGTCGGAAATATGAAAGAATTTATACGAATTGACTATTGAATATCATTTAATAGATACTAATAGTAACATTAAATTGAATAACTTTATCCGTCCAATTTTCAATTACTGACTCAATGATTATTTGTCTACGATTGTATCTACGGTTATGTAATTTCTTTTACATACTTTGATCATTGAAATCAAATTAAAAGACACAAAATGAAATCATTTCTATCTAATCATTAAAATGTTCCAGATTATTTTAAGCATGTCATAATGAATCAAAACTGAATATCTGAACCATATAAAACTCAAAAAAACTGGATACCTGCTTGTTAAGAAATTTACACTTATGATCAAACCCAATATCTCCATGTTTTATGCCTAATAAGATTTACTGAGAATACTGAGCTGAAACATGGAGGTTCTTATTTTCAAACTTCCAGTACTTTGATACTATAGTGTGGCAACCAAAAAGTTTCATCGATGAAAATTGGTGAATTTCATGAGTAGCTCAATAAAGACAGAATCAGAAACGGTTAAATTCAACATCTTCAATCTAAAATAAACCATGTTCATTACATCATATAATAAGCAAATATTTGACCTGGCTATGAAAAGAAAATTGTCCTACACCCCTCGTTTGCCAGTAGTTTATGACATCGATTTCTAATGTAACTTCATGGGAGACTTTTTTATATTTTAGTTTCGGAATCGGTTGCATACTATTTTATATCTTCGTTAGTTTCCTAATAAAACCTTCACACTTTTTTAAAAATGGATATTTAGTTTGCTACATTCACAAAAGCCAACTGTAAATTATATCGTTCAATAGAGAAGTTTCATTTCTCAAATTCTCCATTATAACTTCATAGAGTAAAATAAATATTTAATATCAGCTGTCTATTAACCTACATAGACAGGAATATATATTTATCATTGACTTAAGTATTCACTTGTATTCACACACATACACATACAGATGTTTTTTAATGAATAGAATAGAAAAAAATTGATTTATTTACCCATTGTACATTGAACCAAGATCTAATTTTACTTGCATATGTTATTATATGTTGAATTTGTTCTTCAGTTATAAAAAACGGCAATCAACAAAGAAAACAAATTTATCTGTGAAAAAATCAACCGCTTCGAAACAATATAATCCAGTAAGTAAGAATTAAAAAATAATTTGATCTTTTAATTTTTTTGTTTTTTGAACTGTATTTAGAGAATAAAATACATAAATTTAGACTTTCATTCAATATTTTATAAATCAACTATGATAAATTCTGTCTATCTATTCATGATAATTAACATAGAAATACAAATGTCCACATAATAAAATATATCTATTATTGTATGAGTACGTGAATTATTGAACTGATGTATGATTGTCACCTGCTTGTTTTTGTTGTAGAGGGAGTGTCATAGAACCGAAAACGCTTATGTACAACAGTAAGAGGAGATGTTATGCTATTCACCATACCTTAGAACGGTTTATCTGAATTATAGAAGAAACCAGCCTTTTTTGTCATCACAATAAGATATCATAGTTTTCATCAAAAGCCAGAATATATCAGACAGTTGTTTAGTTCCGAATCGTTAGTGACTGAGCAGCACTCATCAATAATTTCAAGAGGTTGTCTTAACTTTTGATTTCTAAGTTTTTTTCAGTAATTCACTAAGTATAGGCATATACATCTTCCTATAAAATGCTTGACTAAATAATAATATCATGTACTCTCTGATGACTGATTTCAAAAGGAATGAGTCTTGGCCTGTCGAGATCAGTCATTTTGGGTGTGAGGCGGCTACCCCACAACGGCATTGGGAAGTTATGCAATATCCTAAGTTAACTTAGTAAAAAAGTGAAAATCGTTAACCATTTTAAAGATTGAACACTCAATGAAATACCTGCAGACTCTAGGTTTGATTCTTCATCGGTTAATGGATACCCACCACTAAATAGTCCTATGCTAATGTGTTGGATACTACTTACGAGGCTGTTTATAGGTAGTATGCAGGAGAACCTCGCCTGGGAGGTTCCAAAGTCAATAGACGATGACAAAAGTTTTAGGAAGTAAAGAGCACGATGTTTTCGGGAAACTTGAAGACCAGAACAGAAGCGAGATGAGACAGAATAAAGAACATGAAAACGGATTATTGAAAATTATGTGTACGTATTTCCTAAATAATCTATGTTTTCTCTAAGTACATATCTAGCCCATTCAGTCTTAACTTGTTCGTACATAACTTTTGAGGTGAAACCAGTCTTTCATTTCTTTTCCATCTTCAGTGGTTGTCTAACTAAGATCGGTCGGTAATGTAATGTGTCATTATTATACGAATTCTCACTAGTATTTGATTCAAATAAACTTTCAAAAAGTTTCATTATACACATTCTGTTCAAGAATCAAACATTAATTAGTCGATAAAATTTGTTAAATATTTTACTATATCTCAAGTCTAAATATATCGTTATTTTCAATTGGTAAATTTACCAACACTGATCTAGTGAGCTAATCAGAAGTGGCCAAATGAAAGGGTTGTTTGATCACCAGAAAATATCCTAAAAGATGAGTACATATCACTGACCAGAAAGTGTCTTCCTATTGTAGGGAGGTGGAACTTACGTATAGACCAATTTTTGTACATATTATTCACTAGCTAAATAATCTTTCTTTTCGCACTTGTCTACTCACTCAGGCAGCGAATCTTAGGGGGTTAGTACGTATCATCATCGGACTTCGGAATCCACACATCATAAAAAACATGATGCACCAAAATTGTCATGCAGTGTAGATTCAAATTTTATCCGTTTACTTATATATGTCTATTAATTTTTGTTATTATCTAAATTACAATTATGAGAAGAATTTTTGACAGGATACATTTAGATCTATTCATTTATCTGCATAGAATTTCTTATCATAATAAGACTTTTACAAAACAAAACAAATTATTTTTCTCAGAAAATCTTGATAAAAGAAAAGCTGACCGTTTCATTGGAGTTAAGATAAATGAAAAATTTGTCACTTACACATCATATACTATTGTGCTTTTATAACAAATAAAACTCGGTTTTCATATTACTAAGTGCCATAAGCAATAAAAAATGCATGTATACTATGTGTGACCGAATATCAGAAAGTAAATAATTTGAAAACATTAGTCATACTAGTTCGATATACGTTTAGTTTTTGTTCTCTATTTTGCATTTGTGAATATACTCAACATCCCTCCCTCTACTTTCTTCATGATTTTCCCTATGAAAATTGTATAAAGTTAAGCTAAATAGGTTACCATTAAAATGATCGATGTCTCCAAACTAATTAAAAACCTAAACATCACTTATCTGACTTCATAATCAAGTAATTTGATCATCTATACGATGTCATTCCTCATCTGCAAGCAACAAAATATCAAAACTTAACAATTTTATTGTGTACCGACCAAACTGCGACATTACGGATTATTGTGGAACAATTAATTGAGTGGAACTCACCACTCTACATCAGCTTCATCGACTACGAGAAATCATTCGATAGCTTGGACATGGAAGCACTATGAAGGCTCCTTCGACACTACGGAGAGCCTGAGAAAATATTTAACATCATACGGAATTCTTATGATGGATTCAACTGCAAAATCGTACACGAGGGACAGCTAACAGACTCTTTCGAGGTGAAGACCGGTGTCAGGCAAGGTTGCTTACTCTCACCCTTTCTCTTTCTCCTGGTCATCGGCTGGATTATGAAGACGTCAACATATGAACGGAAGCACGGTATCAACTGGACAGTTAGGACGCAGCTGGATGATCTGGACTTTACAGATGACCTGGCTCTTCTATCTCACACGCAACAACAAATGCAAGAGAAGACGACCAGTGTAGCAGCAGCCTCCGCAGCAGTAGGTCTCAGCATACATAAAGGAAAAAGCGAAATTCTCCGATTCACCGATACAAAACTTCACGCGCCAACCAAATCACACTTGATGGAGGTGCCTTGGAGGATGTTAACACCTTTACATATATGGGCTACATCATTGACAAACAAGGTGGATCCGATGGTGATGTAAGGGCGCAGATCGGCAAATCAACGTCTGCATTTCAACGATTGAACATCTGTAACTCCAAACAACTATCAATCAACAACAGAATCCGACACCATCAACAACAACCTACTGTGGGAACGAAAAAAAAACAAATTCCTACGTAGGAGGAAATCAAGAAGAAGTGTTGGAAGTGAATAAGACACACTGCGAAAAGAACCGAACTGCGTCACAAGACAAGCCCTCACTGGGAACCCTCTATGCCAAAGAACACATTACGCTGAGAAATAGGGAAAAACGATATGAGAAGAATGAACAAAAATTGGACAGAACTGGAAAGGGAAGCCCAGGACAGAGTTGGTTGGAGAAAACTGGTGGGCGGCCTATGCTCGATTGGGGGTAACAGGCGTAAGTAAATAAGTAAGTAAGTAATAAAATAATTATAATTTTTGATGATAATTTATATTTCTGAGCAAATAAATAAATTTCTCATATGAGTTAGGAGAGTATGTTTTAGTATTTAACAAAACTGCAACTCTTTATTCACAATTCCAATTGAAGTAAGTTTTATTCTACACCATATCATTTTGGACTATACAGTAGTGACACAATAAACATTTTGTTATAAACTATAAGTCAAAGACATCTTGTAAAACGTTACATGCAAAATGAATATTACTTATCATTACTTATTGGACTTTCATCAGAAAGACACCATCTTGATCTTGAACATTCTTTACCGTTTTTTCACTTCATTCTAATAGTTATCATCATTATTGTTATTAATTTCAGGAAAATAATGTATTCAAATGTAATCAAAATTCAATCAATTTATCATTACCTAAACATAATTATTTGAAATTATCTAAAATATACCTTAATCCATTATTTGATACATATAAAACAAAAACATATTCCATGAATACCAAGACTAATCCTATTGAAATACATTCTCAGAGTACAATTAGTGACAATGATAGGCCTCACCATCATCATCATCATCATCATCAACATCATGATCATCATCATACTCTTTACAATGAACATTATCACAATGCAAACATAAAGCACAATTGTACTGACAATTTCCAAACCGCTTATGTTCAACCTGTAAAATATTTATCTTCAAGGTCAGCTATGAATAAATCAGTCGATTTAGACCTTTGGGCTACTAGTAATTCAAATTTTCATAGACAATTATCAGTACCATCAGTTGCTGGATTAGTTCTTAGTTTTCCAGCTGTTAAAAATCAAAATTTTTGCAATGCAGGTAACTTACCACCAAAACCATTACTACCGCAAATCACCAAACAACCGACAGACCAACAAGATAATTCTTACACAAGTAAAACTGTTCACCCAGAACCGACTGGAAATTCTCTGTTTCCCAGTATGCAAACTAGTAAATTGAATGGTATTAAACTTACTTGTCCCTCAACTAATATGACTACGTCCCCTGCTGATACAATATCTAATTCTTTGAAATTTATCAATCAATGTAACTTACCATTATTTGACCACTGTCAATCAAATTATATACCATGTTCAAATATAGACTCAGCAATTGACCATATACCGTCAGTGGAAAAGTTACCATATAACAATAACAATAATGACGACATTATGTTCAACTGGGATAATACTGATGCTACAAATATCACGGAATATTCCAATCATTGCCATTATGCATCTTTCAATAGAGCAAATGATACGGAACACTTACTACATGATTCTTTAAAATGGTGTAATTCTGATAGTTGCCGTCATTTTTCGATTAACGCATCTCCTTTAATATCTTTATCACACAGTTATTGTCAGCAGTGTCTGGTACTCAATCACTGCGATCGTATGCACCAAGATCCTAAAAATTCTTCAATACAACCGGAATTAGATTCAATTACAAATACTTCTTATAGTTCCTGTCCAAAACAGTCGGAAACTACGACTCAAATATGAATACGTCTATCTTTTCTCAAAAACAAAATACTGAAAATTTGTATTGTTCTAACTAGAGCTGAATTCTTATTTCACACATGTCACAAGTATTGTTACTGAACGCCCGCAAAACAACCTGTTAACTTCCTAAATTATTTATTTCACGGTAAAATCAATGAATTCAACTATTTATATTATTAATATTCATTCTTACATATCAAACAATGCTATTGAATATTAAGTAAATCCATCAGAAAACAACATCTTCCAACTTCTTATGGTATAATATTTTAACATTAGGAAGTGTGAAATTGGAAAAAGTTGATGAAAATTCACTTTTCCCGATATTTCTAAAGTATGTATTATAAGAAGAAAATTTATAAAGTTAAATTTATAAAACTGAATGTCTGATAACTATTCACACTTATTATTACTTCCATCTATACAATATTTGTCTTTAATAGCCTATTTCAGTCATCTTGAATTATGTTACAATTTTGATTTAAGCTGTACATACAGATATTTTTCTTATATCATCTGTTTTTCTGAGCTAATGATATATGTCTTCTTTCTATTCTCTCATTTATTGCCTTCCATTTCCTATCTTGTACATCGATATTGTTTTTCCAACTTAGATATTCTTAATCTTGGGATGAAAACTGACAAGAATAATTAGGCCAAACAATTTTGTTCACTGTAATGCTTATACAATCAAAGTGAATAATATGAAACACTTCATTTATAGATTAATGTACACATTGAAACAAGCAATGAGAAAATCAACAAAATCTACACATTCCTTTACACAATATTCAGACTCAACGATTGTTTGAGAAAATGACCAATACGAACTATTGAATTTCAAAAGTTTTCTCATTCTTTTTTTCAGCCGTTTAACTTTCACATTTTATTCTCCATAGTTTTGCATCCCTTGTTTCTTTTCTTTTTTTATATAGAAAATCAAAAGTAAAAATAGTAGTTATTATTATTATGATGATTATTATTCCAACGGATAGTGATAACTAATGGACATGTGATTACTTATTGATATCAAGAGAAATAATTTCATTTGTACAGTTGGATTTGATAAAAACAGAACACAACAATTAGTATATATATATACGTATATATACAAAAAAAGAATTAATGGATAAATTAACATATTTTTTCAATTAAAATATATGTATGTATACTTTCTTTTGATAGAGAAAAACTTTATTGTGTTTGAGCATTAAATGGGAGAAGCCACTTTCAGTTGGATAACAATCCGAGTTAAGACTGATGTCACCTAATTGTGTAAAGGTATACTGTTAATAGATTCGAATATTGAGGTACAAACAAGGTCAAAACAAACCTTTAGTACTCTTAGTGAAACATACAATTAGAAGGTACCTTAAATCTACATTCAAATAATAACAAGAACTCGGTGAAGTATCATTAAAGTTCCTAAATGTAATGAGCAAGGTTGCGCATAACATCGCTATTACAGGAGGACATGAATTTACGAAGAACTTCAGCTCTCTCCCGGAAGCTAAGCATGAAAGAATTTGATAATATGCTGAGTCTGGCAATTATTCGTTAATCAGTCCATGAATTTTTCCATAGCACTTGGCCATCTACTTGTGATCACATGAAAAAGACAAAGTTGTCAACTAGAGATTCTTCGTTTTTGAAGATGCGGTCCGAGTATGTAAGCATATTGCTGTTTCTTCGACAAGTTTATATTTCTCAGCAATCGCAGTTCTCTAACGAAATCAAAGAACCAATCTCCAAGAGATTCAGCACCTCCATTGTGCATGTGTCCACAGAATTAACCTTAGAAATTTTGAAGTCTCTTAAGATTGGGATATGAACAGAATTGGATAATCCATTTAGCACACGACTGTCATTTTCATGATCAGCAGAAGAGTTACTTTAAATAGCTCTAATATGATATCTTGGTGTGTTGAGTTATCTCATTGAACACCATACAAATTCATCAAGATTGATAAACTGATGAGTATGGTGGAGTTCCGTTCTCTGAGATAGGTGTCCAGGCTGTTGAGCTTTCTTCTGAACAAAATCATCAACACAAACTTTAAGTAGAACTGAAGTAGTCGAATTTCCGAATGCATGACATATGACTCGTCCTATTGGCTTCGATCTTGATTGTCTGTCGTTGTCTTTACTTTTATTTTGGTTTTATCCCCTATGATCTGTCTCTAGGTCCTATATTCGTCTATGATCGTTTTCATTGATTGATAAATTGAAGGAATGTGGATGTGTGTAACTTCAGCCTTTGGTTGGTTTGCGTTTAGCCAGGAGGTACCTTGTGTGCTGCAGGTGTATGAAGAGCAGTTTATGAGACTATCTGGAAGAAAGAAAAAAGTAAAAAATGTGAGCTGACGACACACACAGGATGCACGTACATTTAATAGAGAAATAAAAAAATCCAAACTAGTAGCTGCAAGAGTAAGACCGAATGCTTTCCATGTGTTTGTTGATTGTTGTCTTACTTAAGTGCCAAGCCTCCGAAAATTCTTTGTGCTCCCTCAATCCAGTATTTCAACATTGTCCCAAACGGATGTATGTCCATCACAGTCACCCAACTGAGCTACAAATTCCCCCCACCCATCTCAAAACCCGTGAGCGCACACTCCATATACAACCAGCCAGGATCAGGGGTAAATAGCTGGGTAGCCTCTTATTCCATTTATATCGTTGCCACAGAACAAAGACATGCCATATATTGTGTGCTCCTGATATGTGATTTAAGAATACGCCCGTGTTTCAGATATTCCCATCAGATGAGCACTACCATCATTCCTTAATTAACATAACTCACCCATTTAGTCCGAAAAATTTAGAGTGCTGGTATATAAACAGTTTCATCAGTTCAACTTGAAGCGCATGTGTCCTCCTATTGTTTTTATGAGCGATCCTTGAGCGCACGGGCTTCAAACCTACCAACATGGTTTTTTCAAAATGTGTCATTTTTCGTGTTATTGTTATTTTCGACGGTCAGCTAGTCAAAAAGTCAGTTCAAATTTACTTTTCTACTTAACCCTTTCATCATGTGTCCTGTCCTAATTCATGTGAACTTCAGGTCGTTACCTGCGTCTGCTGATAAATCACCTCAAAACTGATAGATACCACTGACGGAAAAGGGGTAACTGGATTCATTACTGCGGTTCAAGGTTCCCGTCCTTCTTCGTTAGTCATAACACTTGTCGCGGTAAGATCATTTTAAGCTTCAAAGATAGCTTTGTGAACTTCCTTTCTTGAACATTACAGACTGCATTATCATTTTTGGATATCTTGCATTATGATATTCGTTCCGCGAAGTAAAATCTGATACAATTCCTTTAGGATGTCCCTGATGCGATGGTGCTTCCAGTGTGATATGTCTAGCAAAATTCAGCAAATGGCTGGTTGGCAAAACACTCTTTATGTAGGCGGCTCATGTGACTGTCCCGTGTAGTAGTCGCAGAGGATCTGTGTTTTCGACATGTTTCTCCTAATAAGTCGTCCGACTGCTGGTATTTCAACTACAGGAAGTTTCAGCTATCATTTTAAATATTCACAAATATCTTGTTGTTTTTGTCTCGAGTGCTGAGAGGAATATTAGAGTAGTCTGGTTGGTAAAGAATCATCACGAGCCTTGATTAGTTCTCCAGGTATTTAAACACGTTGAGGTTGAGATGATTCTTTTCGAACCGATCCATTGAAATTTGTTTTGGTTTACTAGCTGGAAAACCTTAGGAGTATATAGCGCAACTGGAGAAATAGATGACTTCCTTTTAGAACGTTGGCTATTAGGCGTTTTTCACCACTAACTTCAATTCTCTTTAACTCTTTGACGGACGTCCTGTAAAATTCTCAGAATCCACAGTTATTCATGGAGAGGCTAGGCTGAGAGATTCCAGTTTACTAAGAGAACTTCACCCCACCATATTTATGAAGTAACTGAGTTTCAGCAAATCTTCATTGTTACTAGTGTATGACCCGTCGGTACTAGTAGCTTTCGGGTGTTTATCCGTTTCAAAACTGATTTCCTTCATGGTTGTTAATAATTTTTCTTTTCAGAACCTGGGGGAAGACGGATAATACTGTTCACTATGTTCATAGCAATAATGAACTACAGTAAGGATATGGCTGACTGGGTCTATTAAAAGTAGTTATTGTGATCATACTTAATGAAAAGATCTTTGAATTGGTCATACCAGAGGTGACAGAAAATTGGCAGCCATGTCACTAACATTTGATATTAGTGACCAAGAGTTTAACTATACCCTAAAGACGACTGAAGTCTGTCAAAATCAAATTTCAGAGTAATGAACTATTTATTATCATTATCGAAAACTCCTTCAAAATCATACACATAGTCAGATGAGTTGGCTCAAGTAGAATGCAAATGAAAAGCTTACGTACACAAAAGACTGTTATTATCCCCCAGCCCAAGTCTAACCTTTGCGTAAAATCAATGTGTTCAGTCCCCCATTCTTTAGCGGACGTAACCTTCTTTCCTACCTACTTTGATGTATCACATTATTTATCCTCCTTTCTAATTATTTCCACCAACACTAATAAGCTGTTGTCACAACTTTTAATTGTTATATTTTTGATGGCTACTGTCGAGTGAACAACTGCTTCCAACTTAGCATTCTTCACTAGATGTTGATTACATTACCAAATTTCAATATCCAATTTCCGTTAACAACTCATGAAAAGATAGAGTTCTCCAGGTTTTATAGTTACTCGGCAGGATTCTATTGTACTACAGGCTATTATTTTAGAAAACAAAAACTAAATGTAAATATGATTTTACGTTTCAAGTAAATGAGACAAAACTGTGCTGATCTGTCTCCACTCTTCGTCAATAATTGCATACAGCTGCATTTTGAAACAAAATTTATGACCATATAATACTGCCTCATGAAGTATATTGTTCTTCAAGAAATTTTAATTTTGTCTCAGACACAGAAATTAAGGAGCACTCCTCGAAAACGCTTTATGTTTAAATGTTCCGAATATACATTGGCCTCAACTAAGTATGCACAGCGGCAAGTTAAATATTGTAAACATCATGAGTCAGTTGTGTGAATACATCCCGAAGATTAGAATATGAGTCTAGTGGAGTGTCCGAATAATTAAATTTATTTTACTTCATCGCACCAATGTCTACATGATGACTGATCCATCTGGAATTCTTGTTAATAGTAAACTGGATGAAGGTATGTTTAATTAGATTATATTAGAATAATATCCAAACCAAGTATTAGCAAAGGATATTGAAGTAAAACGACTATTACACAAAGAAATCAATGGACTTAAAGCCGCATCTGATGAACTACAAAAGAAGCTTGATCTTAAAACATCACAGTTTGAAAAACTAAAAGTTGATTTCATTTTTAACTTTCGGTTGATCAAAGAACGAGATATGGAGATTAACAGACTAAGTGAACGTGTCTCATCCTTAATTAATGTAAGGATTTCCCACTGTAAGCTTAGTAATATATGATCCTCGAAACAAACATTTAATGCACAACATTAGCAACGTATCTCTTTTTTTCTTTTGAATAGAAACACACAGATAACTGTGTTAACTTTAAATCATAACAAATTTTTTGACTCCAGTGATAATAACTAGAACTCCGCTTCATAAACTTCAACTTAATTTATATACACTTAAATATGCATCATATGATGACTCATACATTTTAAAGTTCAGTGTTCTTGTACTTGCTCTCCCTATCATTTTTAACATACACTATCTCTCATAGCTTCTTTTCCGGCTTTCCATTTCAGCAAGCTCTTCCGTTTAATAACTATATAATATCTTATTTATATTCACGCTCATGCATTACTGTGCTGAAGTATTTAAAACGGCTTACGCCTTCACTTTCAAGCGTTCTATGCTTCCTTTTGACGACTGTTCTCTTCCATACTGATGTGGATTTTATCTATCAGATTTCGTGTGTAAGAGTCACAAGCTTTGGTTTTTGACGGCGCATAATGATGAACCGCGTTTGATGTACAGGACGTAGTGTCTAGCAAAAGGTGAAAATCCAAACAGCTGTAAAAATACTGAACCAAATCACCAACATTAATGAGTTTTTTTCAGTGTTTTGCGAATAAAGATGGCATACATTGTTTTCAAAGAATTCCATACATGCTCTTTTTCAAAACGAATAAACGTGACTTTAGTGCTTATTGTTATGTTGTTCATAATCAAACAAGGAGATATATCCTTTGTGTTTGAAACGACAACGCTGAGACAAGTATATGTTTTGCTTAACATTACCAAAAATCGACTTCCCATTATCACATTTTATGCAAACTAGTGATAAATATCCTAATGCAAACCTTAAGACCTTTTCTCTGCCTAAAAGTTGTTATCAATCTTAATTATAAAGATAACAGTCATAATAGATTATTCTTAAATGAATAACGGGTTTATTAGTTTAACTAACAGAAAATCTAGAAATATTTGGTATGTATTTTACACTTTCATCTCAAAGAACAACGAGAGTTGCGTCATTTTAAAAGCTATCTTTCTAGTAGATCAGATGATTTAAGTTTTGTTACTCAAGTACTCATTAAGCGGCCAGACCAAAACATGGCACAAATCCATGAAATCACTGACGAGTGGACTAAGCCATGTTAGGTGTAGATTACCTGGGTAGGGTCTGCGAGATAACTGTAACTGTTGGTTAGAGACCTTGAATGACATGGCTCAAAATCGTTTGCAATGGTGCAGGTGCGTCCATTTGTTGTCTCCTCTCTAATTCTAATCTTCTGAATTCCTCATGACCTTTCTTCTTCTCTACCCTTATTTTTTTAAATTGATTCCTGCGGAATATTCTTGAAGGATATCCGCGATCACTAATCTTTCTGATTAACGCTAATACTTCTACTACCTCAGCTACTATAGAATTTGAATTGACAATTCGATATCTGCTAGTGTAGCATGGCAACTTCAACTAACGTACTTACGTACGAAGTTCTACTTTATAGCTGATTGAAAGTACTCATTGTGACATCACAAATATACAATTAGATTAAAAGCTAATATTCTTCATAGATGGACACCAGTTAAAGAACCACTGTAGACGAGAAACTAATACTCAACAGCTTCATTTTAGTCTATAACTCCTCAACAGTGCTCACTTACAACTCCTGCGATGTACCTTACGCAAGACTTCCTATTCGTAGGGCAAGCACGTTACAGTCAAACCAGGTTACGATTTTTAACTTTATTTAATATGAGGTGTGGAACAACGATCATCAAACGTTATCAGAAAGTAACTGTATTACCATTTTGATTATCCAAACATATATGAAAGCATCGCATATTATTATCATACTTTGTTTACCTCCCTTTCCTATATTGGATTACACTTTTAGTGCAATAACTCTTTAAGAGTCATTAGATAGTGTAGGATTCTTCTCGCCTATAACAAACTGTTGTTTGTTTTTTTGTTCAGAATATTCATTCGAGAGATATTCTAATTAGTGAAATCAAAGTTTCTTTAGATCGCACACAATCAGAGCTTGCACAAGTTAAGTCGTCCGAAGCAAAATTACGAGAGGACATTGAAGAATCTTTTCATGAAACTGTCAAACGGGAACAAAAGTTACTCGAAAAACACAATACTGTAATTGAAGCATTAAGGAAAACGGAAACTGAAGAACGTATCAAATTACAAGATACTATTAATCGTCTCCAATCACAACTTGAAATGGAAAGACTTCATGCTGCTGTTGACCTACAAACTGCAATCGACAATGCAATAAAAGAGAAAGAAAGGCTCAGAGGTGATACTGAACAAAAAATCTTTGACCTAGAATTACGTATCCAACTTGCAAACGAGGCTGTTGAACTAGCTAATAAAACTAAACATGATTACGTGAAAGAATTATCATGCAAAGAAGAAGAATTACGTAATTTGAACTGTAAACTAAATGAAATAAACAAAATGGTTGAATCACAGAGACTCGAAATTCAGGACTTACACACACGATTAAAAGAGTCTATACAAAAGCAAAAGTTACTTGAATCAACTAAAGTTCAAAACGAAGAACAAGCAACATCACAAAAATCTGAGCTCACTGAAGAAATCGGTAATCTGAAGTAAGTCTATAAACATTTGGATTTCCTAAAGCATACCCGATATTTTGAGATTATAATCGAAATCATATATATATATATATATATATATATATATATATATATATATAACAAATATGAGGAATTCAAACAAGGCTCGTGGATTCAACTTTTTCATGTTTTTCACAAGTTTGAGACCATTTGAATCCTTTTTATTGTGATGAACGGAATTCTGCGGACGTATTTCGCTCAGTATTAATTTAAATATCCCTGAAGTAAATTTCTAAGCAAAAATCTTGTTTTTAAGTTACCGAGTGAAGAATTTTCCACCCAGTGGATTTTCACGAGTTAAAAGTCTCACTTTTTGTCCTAGTAACTACTTTTCACCTAATGATTTAAAGCTTTTGTTATAATACTAGATAAAGTGATCTATAACATTGCTAGAAGTATGAGGACGATCGTCACTTCGTTATTGCCCGTATTGTAGAAGGATACTGCTTATTGAGGACCTGAGAAGGAATATTAGTTCAAGAAGTGATCTCGATAACCCAATAGCATACACTTATCGTCTAAAGGATAACTGGTTAAGGCATGTCATTTAGGGCATTCTGCGGAGCAATCTTAATGTGTTGGCTCCATAATTTTTCATATCTTGTTGCTTACGATGGAAATCTGAAAGACAAAGTGAAGTCTGTTATTTCTAAGACCGACCTGTAAATCTGCCTTTTGTTGTCTGAGGGTAGCATCTCCAGAAACCACCATGTTGTATTAGCTACGTTTAGGTTGACTGCAAGTTTTAGATTATGGGCTTTGTCAAACCTTTCCTCGCTTATCGTGGGACGACCATGTGAGCAGTATTAACGTTAGACTAGAAGTAATAGTAAAAGGTGGAAAATCAGATGATGAGGTGGCAAATTTAATTTAGAAGTAAAGTGGAAGAAAGTTAGAAGCAGACAAAAAAAGATATGATACCAAATTTTAAAACCACTAATTGTCAATCTGAGCCACGTTGGTAGATGCAAACTACCTGGTTAAGGTGTGGGCGATCACTTCGGATAATGATTGGAGACGGCTTCCACAGTTCACAAATGGTTCCAGGGGCATAAATTCATTCGTTCTTTATATTCCTTCAGCTAGATTACTGCTCTATGAATACTTTTTCATTCTTTCTTTTCCAGCGATATTCTCAACGCTTATATCACTTCATTATAGTTAGTACTAAATTATTTCTGCTCCTTTTCTATCCATCTTATTAACTTTGTCCCGTCAATCGAATGTGGAATGGGACCTGGGTTATGCACATTTGTGCTGTATCCTGGCTTTAAATATTTAATTTTTAAAAATATCACTTTATCTTAACTCATTAACTTTCAAAATGATCGACTGTGATAGATTTTATATTTTGTTTAAAACAGATTGAATGTTTAGTGCAGTGATGTACAATAATACAATGTGGTTGATGGACAACTGCTTACCATTTCAAAACTTCAAATCACCTCTCCCTCATGTAGACTGATGTCAAGAAACACCATAAGTAACCAAGGTTTTCTTTCTACTACAATGACATTTATATGAACAATATTAACGCAAAATTATGATCACGATAAAATATCACTTGAAACGCAAGTAATTTTGAGTTAGAAGTTTTCCAGACCAATCATTTCTCAATAAAATTAATACCCGATTATAAAGCTTAATCCTTCTGAGTTACATCGTAATCACGATGTATAATATTGTCTTGCACTTACACCTGTTACCTCTCGTGAAGCATAGGCTACCTACCAGGTTTCTCCAACTAACTCTGTTCTCGGCCCTCCTTTACAATATTTCTCAAGTGAAACCCATTGTTTTGATGTCTACCATTAATTCTCCGACCAATGTATACTTTGATCTTAAAGATTCCATGTTAGGGCTTTCTTCCATTTATATTGAGACCTACTACTGCACAGGCTACGGATACGCTAGTCGTATTGACCTGCATTTGTTGTTATGCATAGAATAGAAAAGCTAGGTAATCTGCGACGTCCAAACAGCCTAGCTGCTGTCCATTGTATTCCGTGCTTCCAATGAGATGAGGAAGTCTTCATAATCTAGTCAACCATCAAGAGGAATAAAATCAGCGGGAGGGAACAGTCTTGTCTAACATCGTTCTCCCCTTGGAACTCATCCGTGGACTCAGTCAGTCAACAACTTAGAGCTTCGTGCGTACGTACATCAGTCCAAGTTGCCATACTTTGTAGTCCGTCGTAAGAAATCTGTGATTGTGACAATCCTCTCGGTCATACCGTAGTGTTAAAGAAAGTCCTATCAACTCTGTCAAATGCTTCCTCATTGTCAGGAAATTTGATGTGTGATAGTTAGTTCAATTCACTTGTTCATTCAACAATGACCCATAGTGTCGTATTTTCATCAGTACACGGTCGGTCCTAGAGGAATCTAGCCCGTCGATCTCGAGGTTGTACGTCCACGGAGTCTTTTATTCAGTATTGAGAGTAGAGTGATGCCTCTGTAGTTCTCACACTTACTATGCTCTTCTTTGGTATTTTTATGAGCTCTTCTGCTGTCTAATCGATGAGTACTTATTCTGCTTCCCAAATCTTGTTAAATAGAACGTGGTGTATTTTTTGCAGTTGCTTTTAATGTTCTTTGACTCCATTTGTCTTGTGACCACGTTGGTCTCTTCCACTGTTCGTAAGATAACATCGATAAGAAAGTCTGTGAGTACGGATTCGAATTTGAGTAGGTTTAGTGGGACTGGTCTACTGAACAGTTCTTCAAAGTGCTCTACCCACCGGTTTCGCTGTTCTTCGATCTCATCTGTTGGTTCGCTGTTCTTATGCATGACTGACCACTGATTTACCATATCTCCTGGTCAGCTTCTCTGTTGCATCACATAGTTACCCCGTATTTCCTTCTTTTGAAGCTTCTTCCGCTGTCATCGCTAGGCCTTCCATATATTCCTGTTTATCAGACCCAATGCTCATCTTCACTTGCTTGTTTGCCTCTGTAAATTCGACCTGAGCCTTGGCTTTCTCTGCTGTTGTTTGGCCGTGATTGATTTCTGTCCTCCTGTTCTCCCTTTCTTGAATGTTACTCAGGGTGACAATAGAGATCCATTCCTTTTGATGGTGCTCCTTGCAGCCCAAAACTTCCTGACATTTTGAAGTTATTGCTTATTTAATCCCTTTTCAGTTGCTCTCTATTGTAATTTTCCCTTGCTTGAGTAAATCTTGCAGATTTTGGAACTTGCTGCTGAGAGCTATCTTGAACTCTGTGAGTTTATCAGTATCCTAAACAAAGGCCGCGTTAAACTTTTGTAATACTGTTTCTCCAGTTGTCACGTGCTTCTTTAGCTTCAGTTTTAACGTGGCCACTACCAGGTGGTAATCAAAAGCTATATGAACTTCTGTCTTTGTTCTCACGTCTTCTATAGACCTTCCAAGCTCTTGATTGATGCAGATGTGACCGGTCTTGTTCTCTGCAGAGTGCGGTCCGGTAAAACTCATATAGCTTTTGGTTTTTCCACATTTCCTCGGCGGTCATTTTTAGTTTGGCAACTTGATTCAACAAACCGATAAATTTTTTATGACTAGCTTTCACACCAACTCCGCCTGTTGTCCCTTCAGGGCTACTGCCGGTCCCAAGCCCGGGGTTGGACATGGGGTTGGCGCCCCCATCCCAACTAAAAACTAACTTGCCAAAAAAACGCTAACCAGAACTAATAAATAAAATATATAGCTTTCACACCCCTAACTAATAATAAATTGTATTGTACTTGATAATACAGGTCACTATTGGGATCCATTCTTCTGTAGACTATTTAGAAATGGTAACGAAGGAGTATGAATTGAGTAAAAAGTTAAAAATGTAAACCACTCGATCTTGATACAGTACTTCAATTATTGAACGCTTACTTTCAAACCTAATTGTCTTGTACACGATTGTCGGTGAACGGTAGACGTGCACTGTTGGGAAGTCGCATAATGAAAGGAAACACTTATCCATTTAAGTGTTTAACTAAGGTTGGTTAGTGATTGAACCTATGAAAATGTGTTCGTTTCAAACGTAAAATATTTTAGTAAGTTATCTTAATTGTGATATAAATACATCCGTGATCATATATACTTTATTTAAAAGAGATATGGTACATCAATTTTATCCGTTTCAAAATACACTAGTCCGATCTTTATTTTTATTGCTAACAATACTCCTTGAAGTCCTCAAAAGACAGGCTATCCAGCTGACTCGTCAGCGTATTTCTTATAAAAACCTTATATACTAACCGATTTATATTTTCCTTCCCCTAACTCAACAATATTGCCACTTATTTGAAATTTAGATTAAAATTACAACAGTACGAGCAAGAAATAATATCTGCCACTGTTAAATATGAAGAAAAAGTCAATTTTCTTCAAATTGAAAATCAAAAATTAATTGAATCAATAAATCGAGAAAGACAGCAAACTCAAAAAGCTACTAATCTATGGAAAGAGGAAAAAATCAAATGTCAACATGCTGAACATGTTGTTCGTATTTCTCAAGCAGAAATAAAACATCTTAATGAGGATTTAAAACAAGCTTTAATAAAACCAAATATAAATTTACATGAAATACAATATTGTAAACATGACCATATTATTTATCAATTAAATTATTTAACTGATACTTGTGATAAATTAGAAAGTGAAAATTCACGTCTAAAACAAACCATCAATATTATGTCGGAACAAGCGAAACAATTTTCTCAATTATCAACAACACCAACAATAAATAAAATTAAAGATAAACATAACCGATTAGATGAAACAAATAAAAATGTTAAATTATCAGCAGCAATAAAACAAATTTATCGACTAGCTGTGGAGAAACAATCGTTAATCGAATTAAGTAATAGACTTCAAGCAAAACTACGTCAATTAACAGAACATCAAGATAACGAACAAATAAACATAGATCATTCAAGTAGACGTAAAGAAGTGCCATTATCCAACGACGAGAATATCAACAATATCCAAAATTCAATAGTGAATAGTTCAAACATCATGCATACTGTATCAAACATGAAAAAACCGTTAGATAATTATGTTCCATCTAGTACAGTAACAAAAAATTTAAATACAACTCCTTCATATAATCATCAATTAACTGATATTGATGATACTGAATCTACCATAACAGGGAAAGGATCTATTTCTGCTGTTTTCAAATTGTTAGATGAAGTTACTTCATTAGGTGGTAGTGAAAATGACGCTGAAAGTTGTTTACATAAAAGAGGTAAAGATTTCTTAATCAGCAAATGTTGAAATAAGTTTCAAAATTACCACTTCGTAAATTATTGTGATTATTTTTTTAAAAAAAAAATTCACATACTATGTGATTCATTGTGTAATATAATTATGAACAATATGATGAATAAAAATTGAAAAAACTGAATTCATGAGCATAAACCATAGTTTTGATAGAATTAAAGCATTAAAACAGAAGAAATGATTGTTTTATAGAGAGCTAAATAAATTCAAAATGTATATTACTGATTCAAAGAATCTGTTCATTAAGCTTTGGTGCTGACTTTTAAACCTATTTACAAGCTTTTTCTGCTGCAAATGAAAGGAATTGTATCACCTTACTATTAAAGAGAGAATCGACAAATATTATTTTGAGATACACCAGAAGTAACCATGAAGAAAGCACATAACATTGTTAAACTATCTGTCAGTGGAATGACTAAGCCCATGATTCTACATACGCCTAGGTTATTGTACAAGCGATTACGTTACATCCCATTGCATTTATCAACTCATTCCTTTGAGTTGACACATGCATAGAGGAGAATGATCGAACAAGTCATTTTAGAGCCTAGGGCTGTACAAGAAACCGCTAATCTTCCTCTATGACATTGATTGTCTTTCATTTATTTACAATTATTACTTTCCGTTTATTTGACCTTTATAAGTTGTCTTATAAAATGCTGACAAGTATATATGTGACCAGAATGCACGAAATGGCTAGCGCTAACACATCATATTCTCCAGACTAAACCAGCCTTCTCATTATTCTATCAAAATGTATAGAATAGACTAATTGCTCCATATTTTGCCTATGTACATTTTTACATCAATATGAATGTTTATTTGCTTATTCTATCCATTAATTATTTGAACTGTATTAATTCACTTCATCATTTACACACACCGATGGATAGCCGGAACAATCCACACAACACATTCTACAATTTACTGAATCAGCATATCTGGAAAATATTTATTTCTAATCTGTTTTGAATTATACCTTTTTAATGTTGCGTTGTACAGTGAATCTGGATTACACAACAGGATCAGCCTTAGGTATAAACGAAATTAACTGAGATCTTTTACAGTCGGAGTCAAATGCAACTACGATCAGATAAAAGTAAATATGTGGGAATTGAATGTCACTGGATAAGCACATCAACAGAATTATAATGCCTAATCAATCTAACACTTTCTTAATACTGCTGTTTTATCGACCAAATAATTTGTCCTATAATTTTCTCTAAATAAAACACTAAATAGTTTATTTTTTGCAATATAGAATAAGATTAGCTGCGCTGCTTCACATACTGAGGCAAGAGTAGCATAAGCATCTGCTCATCATTACTTTGAGATAATAAAAACACATGGACTTAATGAAGTTCTTAAATAAATGAGATTTAAGTGTTGGGCAATAAACTACGAAAAGTTTAAAACTTTAGTCTTTGCATACATAGAAAAGATAACAGGTTCTAGTAGAATGTTCATCAAGGGTCGAAATTACAGTGACCACTGATTTCCCACTGCAAAAAACTAAGGTCTTGTACTTAATTCTTAAAGTCCCTTTTTTTCTACTGATTTTTTAACCATCATTATGGTCTCGTTCTTTTTCTATTCACTTGACTTTCATCGTAGCATATTCGCATTTTTCGATGCTTCTGTTTGTAAGGATTGTACAGCTAAAAATAATCAACTATACCACCTAAGAATCAAGTTTCGAATCATGGAATGATATACGCAGTGAAAAAACTGTCCGACTTGCTTCACATCTTACCAACCAAAAACCAATAAAAATTAGTCGAAAATGATTAGTTAAATTATTCAATTCCAAAAAGACCTATAACAGAAAAACATGAATAAAAACTGACATTGGACTATCGACTTAAATGACTGGACTATGATTTCAAATAACTCGGTGTGTGAAAAAAAGACGCGAATGACTCCTAATCTCATTATGCACGGTGTGGAGAGCCCAGAAGTGACAACCGCCCTCACTCGCAACAGCACACGAGTCCAAACTAGTCACAATCGAATCCTTCCAATACTACCTAACGTCTATCACTTCTCCAAAACTAACACTTCTCATGTAGCTTTATCACCCACTGGTCTCCTAAAATCACGCTTTAAACAACATGTTGGAGGTTTCAGTGTCCAGAAATTGTACCAAATAGGGCAACAGGCATCCCTAGCTAGCACTTTAAAATCTCGTGCCATCGATGTATGCTGCGTCTCCGAGACGCGCATACAGGAGCTGAGTAAAATAATTTGACCTCACCGTCCGAAGATAAAGAGCTGTCACTATTTATGCTCCGTGTATCTGGAAGCCCCACTCCTGCTTCCTGCGGCGTCGCTGGTGTAATTATTGCACACTAGTTCTCCTATACTGGATCTCATTAGGCAGTCGCTTGTGCGCTGTCCGACTAAACGGGACAGTAAGGACTTGGAAAGATAGAGACACTAGCCGTTGCCGCTTCGTCATCCCTGCCTACACTCCCACTGACTGCAGCTCAGATGAGGTAAAAGATTAGTTTTGTAGGAAGCTTTCCAAGCTCCTCCAAAACGTTAGGCGCTCTGGTGTAGTAATAGTGGCTGGTGACTTCAATGCTCAAGTAGGTAGACTAAGCGATACTGAGAGACATCTGGGTGGACCCTATGGTGTCGCGACTGATCAAACAGACAATGGCGCCCGTCTCCTGCAACCATGCTCGAGTAACTGCCTATTTCTGGCAAATACCAACTTTAGGCATAAAAATAAGCATCTTTAGACATGGCGACCCCGAAAATCGACTCAACACTGGACTCTAGTGGGCCACATCTCTACCAGCCACCAATAGAGAGGCTCGATAGAAGACTGTTGCTCTTTCTGAGGCTCATGGTTATATTCAGTTCATGCTCTAGCACGAGCGCGCATTTGTCTGCGTCTTACTGGACGTATGAAAGACATAGCAAGGAAACCCCTTAGAGTTCTGCTTAACTATAGCAAATCAGAAAGTATATTTCAGGAGCAACTAGAAGAACAGTTAGGCGGTCATGTAAGTGATTCCCACCCGAGGCACCTTGAGACGATATCCAGAAAGCTGTGGAAACAGCAGTGATATCTGCCGGTAAGGTAAACCGCAAGACTCAGAAGAAGCAGTGGATTTCAGTAACATCTACTGAACTGATACATGTTGGGGAACTTCTCCCGTTTGGCTCTGAACATGACGAAGAGCGAAGTCAGCTTAAGCGCAGGCCGGTAAAAAGCCTACGCAATGATCACGAACAGTGGTGAGTAGCGAAAGCAAGAGAGATGGAAAAGGCGATGGGTAACAGTATACAACTATTCAGGATTATCAAGGGAACCGGTATTAGAAATATAACTTTTAGAGAAACCATCTCGGAAAAGGATGGGTTTATTATTCACTCTCAATCCAAGAGATTGAATTGATGGGTAGAACACTTTCGAAATCATTTCAACTGGTCCTCAGCCACACTGCGGTTACCCACAATCTCCAGTCAACCTGAATGGCTGGTTGATGTAAGTCCTCCGAGTCTTGATGAAGTTGGAAAAGCTATAGGAAATCTAAGGCGAGGGAGAGCAGCAGGACCTGACAGAATTACTGACCCTGAGATTTCTAGGGATGGTAGTCCAGTTTTGGCAGCTAGATTGACTGAGATCTTAGGTAGAATCTGGGAACTGGACGTAATCCCATCCAACTGGTCTCAATCACTGATTGTCCCAGTCTATCAGAAAGGACAAAAGTCCTATTGTAACAATCACAGAGGAATCAGTTTGACTAATGTAGTATCTAAGATACTGACTTCAATAATATTGCGACGCCTAATAAGGGCTCATAAAGAGCAGACCAAAGAAAACCAGGTTGGTTTCCGACCTGGATGTGGCTGTATAAACCATATATTCACTCTTCGTCGGGTCATAGAACATAGACACACGTTCAGATGTCCCAGAATATTAGTATTTCCCGACCTTAAGGTGGCATTTGACTTTGCTGATCGTGAGGTTTTATAGCAGTGTCTGTCATTAAAGGGTGTACCAAAGAAGTACATAAACCTTGTAAAGGCTTTCTATTCGAACACTATTGGTCAAGTGACAGTTTATGGAGACCTGTCATTGGAAGTGATTGCCTCGTGAGGTGTCCGTCAGAGATATCTACTTTCTCTTTTCCTATTCAACTTTGTTATTGACATACTTTAAGAGATGACACTTTCATCGCCTCACTTTTCAGTTGACCTTCTTCCAGGAGACTCGCCTATTGACTTAGAATATGCCGATGATATAGTTCTACTTGGTGAAGACGCTGACGAAATGCAGTCTTTTGACCACTCTAAGCGACAATGCAAACGTGTTCGGGATGCGGTTTTCCCACTCGAAATGCGAAATGTTGCTTCAAGATTGGGTTGTATCGGCACCTGAACTAGTGATAGGGAGTGAAGTAGTCGGGCGTGTTGATCGCTCTCATCAGTGCTGGTGACTGACAAAATCTCTGCACAGATACAGAAGGCTCGATTGGCTTTTGCCGACCCGCGTCACCTATGGCGCAGGCGAGATATCCGGTAGCTAAGCAAAGGATGAGTGTACTGTGCATCAGTTCGCTCTATCCTACTTTATGGCTATGAAACATGGCCAGTAAGAGTACAGGATGTTCAGAGGTTATTGGTTTTCGGTGTCTCCGAAGCATTGATCGTGTATCTAGGGAAAATCGGGTAAGCAATGCTAGTGTTAGGAATCGGATGCTAGGTAAGGATGGCAAATCAATAGATGAATTAGTGAATCTTCATCAGTTGAGATGGTTGGGGTATATGTTACGTGTGCCCAACCATCAACTGCCCCGACAAGCTGTTTTGTGGCGCAGGAGTAGGTTGGAAGAAAGCTAGGGGCGGCCAGACCAGGACATGGCACAAATCCATGAAGTCACTGACAAGTGGACTTAGCCATGTTGGTAGGTGTAGACTACCTGGTTGGGTTCCGCGAGATGATAGTACACGATGGTTATAGATTTTGAATGACTTGACTCAAAAGCCTTTGCGATAGCACAGGTGCATCCACTTTTGTGTTCTTCTAATTGGTAATCTTATGAATTCCCCATCACCTATATCTTTATCTTTCTAAATTTATATCACTGAATTATACTTCTTGAATAAAATCTTCAGACCCTAATCTTCCTGATTACTGCTCATACTTCTGCAACCTCTACCACTATGGGATTTGGATTGAATATTGCGTCTGTGTGCTAATGTGGTATGGCAACTTGAACTGATGTACGTACGTACGAAGTTCTATGTTGTTGCTGACTGACTATGCATTACATTCTTTTACAGTGGAAAAAAGGATTTTCTCAAAAAAGTATTTTTATGAAAAGAAGAATACTAATCATATATTTATAGAGTTAGTAAAACAGTTAACAGCAAATGAATATCATACAGAACGTTTATATGAGACTGTATGGTCCACCCGGTGTAACGTTGTAGAGATTGAGCGTAATTTGATTTCTGCAGAGTTCACAATGAACTGGGGACCAGTTTCTTCCCAAGAAGTAGGAACATTTGCATCTCGATCAGCATATACCAATAGTTCAAAAGTGCCTATTGATCAAAAATACATATAACTCAATAAACAAATAAAGGAAATTCATTGACATTGGTGATTTATGGGATAATTTTTTGGTCTTTACTACTGAAAATCAGAGCAGTTATATTCTATAAAGCTTTGTTCTTAATTGATCCACAAGTTCATACATTTATATAATGAGTAGGACAAGAGTTTTAAATATTACCATCATCTATTCTTTAATGTAAAAACTTTTGATAGCTAATTGGTCACATCAAATAAGACCAAAAATGAAATTACAAACAGACTTACATGAACTGTTTAATACTGGTAAAAATGTATTTGAAGCAACAATCTGACGTATGACACTTTGAATTTCACTTTGTATTTGTGCTAATGACTTTGTTCCAACTGAATTGCTGAATGAAAAAAGAAGATAGATTGACAGACAAACATATCCTAAACCTACCTAGAATCTGTTTTTTCAGTTGTCATATCGAATTGCCACCTTTCCAATACCTCTTCAGTTTTTACCGACTTAATAATTAATGCAAGTCGACGTACACTTCCATCCTCTAACCAATCTTAATATACAATCGTATTGATTTATTGTCAATTATTACTTTTTACTTGATTCAATATTACATTTAAATACTTAATAAGATTTTCATCCGTAGTAACAAGAACACTAAGATCATATTTAATATTTTGTTTAAATGATGCTGATGGATAGATTCCACGTTGATATAAAATACTATTTAAAGCATAAACTAATACGAATAAAATAAAATCTAATTTTGAAATTTAATAACACATACAGAAATAATCGGTTAATAATTCAGCAGAACCTTTCAATGATATAGCACTAGTGGTTTCAGCTGGCATCGATTATGTCAGTAACAGTAGACTAGCTAAAGAAAAGTCGAAATAATGAAAAGATGAGTTATTCGATAGGATACAAATTGGCAAACTCACACACACAAAAACAATATACAGAACATTGCGATAAACTTATTGGTAGTTATTAGTACTAATATATATGACTGACTACATGATAAAAAACCATCTAGAACTTAATGTAAGCAAGAATTGGTAAGACAAATGAAAGGAATGTACTAAGGAAGTGCGAGATTAGAAATACCTACATCAGAAACTATCGTACTGTCAGTTATGGACAAACTCGGGTCAAAATGATTTACAGCGAGAACACTTCTTAAATAACAAAATTTGAGAATAAAATATTACTACGGGATTATGGAAAAAACAGACAATGTAATAAAGATTGTATGAAATATCCTCAAGATTAAACACTGAAAAACCTATTTCATTCAAAAGAACTTTTTGTGGTTCACCAATTTAAACGCTAGTCAAACTAAACGAAGATGCCACCAAGACTACTGATAAGCACAGGTGAAGCAAGCTTTCTGAATCGACAGATAGAGTTAATTTGAGTTACTTCACTTGAGTCTTAAAACAGGTCTCGGATACACAAAGAACTTTGATATTAAGACTTTCATCAGATATAGTTGAACCGATGTTTCCGATCTGCATCAGTGTGAAGGCGTTTACGGGGACTAGTTTGAATGGCACACATGGTTCTAGGAAAGTTGATCCATGATCCGTATTTAGTTGTAGCATCTAACTTCCCACTGGTGAGTAACATGAGTCCGCTAAGATAGAACAAGATTTTAACCATGGGCGACTTGCTGAGTTAGGAAATAAGAGTAAATACAGAATTATAATAAGAAAGAATAAAAGGATGAAGTGCTGAGTGAATTGGTATGTGACTAGTTACATCCAACAGTTCTCTGAAGAGGTGGCGAAAGTGAGCAAAACTGTTCTCTTCACTGATAATCATCTTTATAGTTGTGCGGCCGAAAGTGTTTGCCGAGTGCCTAGACCTAAGCGGGTGGTTTCCTTAGAAAGCCACTTCCTGAGACTTTGGTCTTGAGATCTAATTCATAAAACAATGCAGCGACACTCAGAAATGCGGTCTTATGGTTCCCTGAAACCTAAGATAGGTTAGTAAGATATTTGATCCCTAAGGACCCTGAAGCTCACATACACTACTGGTTTGGAATCAGAGTTCTGTAACTACCCTAGGTAAATCCTACGTCTCCACCGACCCCGTTATTGGCTTCTCACTGTTTCACCCTTATAAACAACAACCCTATTTCTCCGGAAACGGTTATGTAGGTGTGGTCATACGGAAGCATCTCGAGGGAGAGCTGCATACACCCAGAGACACCACAAAAATATTACAAGCCATTATTGTACGAACTGGGGCTGGAATCCTAATTTCCTCAAGGAGCTCAGCTGAAAATTTTGCAAACGTACAATGATGCACAATGGAAGAAAAGACCTATGACCACATGCAATTGATCCTCTTTGATATTTCTACTATTCACAGTTTCCGGCTCCTTCGTATCCAAACTTCCAACTTCCAGGAATTTTGGAGAAACTTTGAGTTTTCCTCAAAGTTGTTTGCAAACTCACAGTTCTGCCTATAGAGTGAAGTAGTTCTAGGTATATAAAAACCCAAAACAGTTTATAATCGTCAGGAAGTTCTAGGTTTGAACTTAGATTAGTTAACAGTGTGGGGTTCCAGTCGCATTTTCCCAAAGTTCCATACTGGAGGTCCCCTCAAAATGATAAATATTTCCTTAAAGTCATGAGACCTGGCAGGAAAATATTAACTGAGGTTGATGACAGAAACCCAGTGTCAAGATAAAAAATTACTAGCTTCACTACTGAATATTTTATTGAAGCTCGACTATTACTAATGTGCGTATTCCATCAGTAAAACCGTACTAGCCTACAATCCTCCTTTCCAACCTAAACCTGCGAACAAACCTTGAGCCTTTGTAGTTCCACGACTATTTTACTTTTGACTATTCAATCATTTTAAACGCATTCAATTTTTACAATATCTCTTTCACAAGCTAGTATAGACTGATTAATCTCATTGCTCTGGGTTATTGTTGTTTCTGCATGGTTCCAGGTATTTGATAATGCCCACTAGGTCTGGCCACTTGACTGTACTAAGTCCAATCAGTTGACAGAAATGTAGGGATTTGCATGTTCTGTCATTTGGGTGGGTGCGTTTGTCTGAGGAAAGTAGGGTTTCTGGATACTGGCAGCAAGCACATTTCAGTGTTTTGATTTTCAGACTCATAAGAGAGGTAATGAAGATTAAGGATAATTTTTTCCATGGGATCACTAAGCGTGGTCAACCCTGTTATGATGTGAGTTGATAAATTATTCTCAGTAGTTTTCTCCCAGCCACAAATTTTGTCAGATTGAGGCAATTTTGGCCCCAAGAAAAGCAGTCCTGTAAGTCACTGACATAGTTATTAAGCCCCCTGCTTTTGCTGGACACTTTAGCTAGGTCACACATCGATACCTGATCACAACTGGGTATGCCGTACTATTGATCCCTCACAATAACTAGTCAGCTTAAATCACGTACTTTCTAGCACCAATTACCTCCTAGTTGTATCTTCACTGTTCGTTGTCCTTGACTTCTCTATAAGAAAACTGTTACGGAGAAAAGCGATGTCAAGTTCTGAATATCCATGACAATCTTAGTGGTTGGTCTGATGCGATCTGGTAAACGAAACGGAAAACTCTCAGTCTGTTCCTCGTAATGGATTATAGGGATCGTTGAAATCCCCAGCTTCTAAGTTTGTTCTGACGAACAAAGGCCTCAGTCGACAAGAAGCGAAATTACAAATCAGCCAGTCAGCAACAACATAGAACTTCGTACGTACGTACATCAGTTCAAGTTGCCATACCACATTAGCACACAGACGCAATATTCAATCCAAATCCCATAGTGGTAGAGGTTGCAGAAGTATGAGCAGTAATCAGGAAGATTAGGGTCTGAAGATTTTATTCAAGAAGTATAATTCAGTGATATAAATTTAGAAAGATAAAGATATAGGTGATGGGGAATTCATAAGATTACCAATTAGAAGAACACAAAAGTGGATGCACCTGTGCTATCGCAAAGGCTTTTGAGTCAAGTCATTCAAAATCTATAACCATCGTGTACTATCATCTCGCGGAACCCAACCAGGTAGTCTACACCTACCAACATGGCTAAGTCCACTTGTCAGTGACTTCATGGATTTGTGCCATGTCCTGGTCTGGCCGCCCCTAGCTTTCTTCCAACCTACTCCTGCGCCACAAAACAGCTTGTCGGGGCAGTTGATGGTTGGGCATGCATAACACATGTCCCGAACTCATGTTTCCACCATCTCATTGAATATATAGTTTATACAGCCACATTCAGGTCGGAAACCTTCCTGGTTTTCCATAGTCTGCTCTTCACGAGCCCTAGTTAGGCGCCTAGGTATTATTTAGGCCTAATTACAGTTTCCTGTAGCGAAATCCCCTATCTTATTGCCCTTCATCATGACTGTGGACAGTCCAAAACCCTTTGGAGATGTTACTTAATTATTTATGCCTGCCATCTCTTTTGCAGCATATGTTGCCCATCAGCTTTGTTCAACCCACTCTATCCTCGGATCCCTTTTTAATTCCTTCCTATGTAATGTTCATTATTATGGTGTCTTTCTCCGAATCCGGACTCAATATGTCCTTTCATCTTCCTTGTTTTCTTTGGTCTTGAAAATTCCACAATATGGTTTCCTTTGTGACTTTATTTTAGTGATTTATGCTGTGTTCTATCCACCTCTAGTGTCTCTTTCTAAATTCTCTCCCAGCTGATTCTGGTTTTGGGGGAGAGTTTCTTTTCGATTTGAAATATTCTTCAACTATAAAACTGTACCAATCTGTGCCAACATATCTGCATCAGATCCACTTTCTTTATCAGCGACGCTGCTCAGGTATGTAAACGTTTCAACATCTGTGCTGTACTTTGCGATTTTGCTTTCTTCCTTGTGTATGTTGAGATCTACTGCCACAGAGGTTGCTGTTACATTGGCCATTTACTGTACAATGGAATGTTTTATATTGTGTTTAAGTCTCATATATTAATGCATTACAAAATCATACTGTACGTTTTGCATTCGAGTCCTTCAGTGTCTTGTCGAAGTGCAATTATTAATATTGTGTTAGGTTATTTCAAATTCACATCTAGCGTCTCTGCACGAATGTTACCCAGCAACCAAGGGAATCTGCATATCGATGCCTCATTGCAGGAAACAAACAATCATCTACAGCACTTTGACGCTTGATTTTCGTCACACAACATCGAGGAAGATTGCATTGCAGCCCATTCTGCAACTGGGATTGGTATAGAATCTTGTATACACGACAAACATATTCGAACCCCGTTTAACAAACTTAAGAAATTGCCGACTGATCATTTGTGCGTGAAAACACCCAAAAGATGGTAATGCGCACAGTCCAGTAAATAAATTCATGCCCCGACTCAAGTAGTGAGAGATTACTTGCTAGAACTTCACACACAAGCTTCCAAATGAGATCTCGGTGAATAGCTGCGAATTCGACTATGTGATCGCCTGATTGCTGAAATAAATGATCCCAATAGAGAGAAGCAGCTAACACAAATTTCTACCTTCACATTCTAGATGACTAAAGACTTCTGGTTTGCTTATCGATAAGTTAATTATGATCCTCTTAGTGTTACTAAGCAATATGTCGTATTATTAAGTGTGAATAAATCCACAACACCACAGAAACCACAGGTTTCTTCCATCAAGAACAGTTCCAGTTTATCCAAACAGACTGCTTTTATGCTTATTCGACGCAAAATTTCGTTTGGTGACCAAACTTCACCCTTTTAAGTTCATAAATGCCTGACTAAGTTACCCCGTCGACCATCATCAGCCACTGTTCAGAGATTAAATTTAGAACTGAGTTTCCATAACTTTACCTTTAAGCATCGAGTGGCTAGAACCAAACTGCATGCAGACTTTTTACCACGGTATTCATACTTTGAAGGGCCATCTAACTACAGTTATCGTATGCTGGTCCAACGTTTGCCTATCGGCATAGTAGAACCTGTAAAGCATGCAATCATCATTACTCTGAAGTGCTTCGGACCAATTATAAGTGCAGTAAAAAGAAGTTGGAATGTTCAGTGCAAGAGTAGGTTTCCTGAAATTTAAAAAAGGAGCAAGGACATATCATCATATCATGAAGGACTTTTGTCCCTTGATGAAGGAATAATTATTACCCCAACACTTTTGTAGAATCTATTTTGAAGGCTTTGTTTTTGGAAAATCCCTCCATGTATATATATTTGTGTTATGATCTGACTGACTCTTCCTGTTCGATATTTTGGTACTCTATTTGATCCCATTTCGGGATTTTATCATTTGTGTCTAGTTATTATTTCTATATCTTGTACTTACATTGAAGTTTCTATGTTTCCTTCTGAACTATATGTGTTGTTTAAAATTGATACTTAATATGGCTACAGCCCTTTTTGGATTTGATACTCTAGTAGCAGCTCGTTGCAACTAACTGGAAGCTCTTGTTCTTCTAGTATCGGAACTTATTTTTGTGATTAGGAAATCGAAGGGGTAATAATGTTTTGGTAATTGTCTGTATTTCCTTTTTTGGTTAAAAATAGAACCGTTATTTCCCAGATTTATCATTTTTGGACTTGGACTGGGCGAGACGCGTGTTAACCTACACCTTTTGGATACAGAGCTCACTGCGAGAGTAATAAATATTTCTATAACTTTGATGGGCATTATTAAATAGTCTTTACTTCTCTCATCTAGGAACAGGAGGAATATAATCACTCATTCTACGCACTTGTTGATCTCCTGGATCGATCCATCAGAAATGGAAAAACTGTTCTGCTTGTTTACATAAGCTGTCATTCAATAAAGTTACCTGGAATCCTCGACCAGAACCTTATGTATTGTGGCAGCGTAATAATTCCGATTACTGTGGACCATTTCTGAACTGGTTCATATTCCCAATGGCCGGAAGTGCTACTCAAATACAGTCCTGGCGGAAACTCTACTCAGAGAGCGATGATGAAGGGATACCCAATACATCAGTAACTGATAAAGGAACTCACTTCACAGAGAAAGAATCCATGACATACTCAGTGAATTAGTTCGACAGGATATTTCGTTCCAGCTCTGATGAGTGCCATCTTATCAATTAATCCTAGTAAAATAGAAAGACTATACATATTCATTGAGAATTTCTCACTTCAATATCCCAATGAAGAACATTCAAGAAATTATGAGAGTTCAGCCAAACCCTTCAAATCTCGCATACTTCTAACGCATAAAACATCACTGGAAGTGTAGTTTTACTTAGGAAATGATTATTGACCACCCTTTGGAATTGTGATTCAGAGAATGAGTGATCGGATGCTAAAGATTCCTGATTTGAATGACCATTAAGTTCACAACATATATGTAGACCTTGTGAAAACAAATGAAGTAGGAGAAATTAATTCTTACTATTCTGCAACAAATCCTAGCCCTGTCGACAGTTCCAATCTGAATCCCATCGGTTCTGATGTTAACAATGACTCTTTAAGTAATCCCGAATTTCAAATTGATAATGAAAATTAAAATCGGGATACTAAACACTCAAGAAGATATAGCAGAATTGTAGAAAGGTTAAGACTACATAACAAACACCTAGACGGGCATTAAATATCTGGTGGTTGTTATAAAGAATAAATGCGTTTGTTGTACAATTAAATATTTTATACTGTGTATAAATCCATTGAAATAATATAATACAAATACATGCTGCGTATTTCAAATTCAGTTTCTTCTGTACGTATTATCGACGTTGTTATAATAATAATAATTTATTCTCAAATAACTAAGTTACAAGAGTCACGCCAGTTTACAGGCTAGATCAAATTGTCACGAATGCTTTTACAATTACTGTAAAAGTTATAGCAGTTAAATTAAGTATAAGAGACAGT